TTTGGTAGTATAGCTAATGATTAAATAGCTTTAAAAAAAACAGACGCGTAGAAATGACGCGTGGTGGCCCGCTCGATTGTGTGGCCCGCTCGTTTGTGGGTTACGTTAAAAGGACACAGCAATCGTGGGGACATCATGTGGGGAGAGTAATAACCAAGCGGTCCTGATCAGGAATAGCTCGCAATCCTCCATTGGTATCGGAAGGGTACCGTCGGAAGGGAATCCGTCTTTCAATATCCATCGTTCAATCCACTTCCCGATATTCGCCCCGACGTCTGTCTTTACAAGAGCCGTTGACTACTTCCTGCCTCGGGATGGGTCTGGCCATTTTCGTCTTAGATCTGGAGGGCTCAAGGGAACGCAGATGATTGATCATTCAGACTCCTTGAAGTGGCTGTGGTGATAGACTTGACTTCTTACACTCTTGCTACGTTTTATTTCCCAAATCCCATATACTCACGGGGTATATAAACAGGAAGGTTATGTGCCCGTGATATTACTCTTCCCGACGCTATCGAGCTCACTACTGAAAATCCGTCGTTCGCCAACTTCCCGTAAATCTTACAGTTATTGGTCGGTGATCTCCCGACCAGTCGTTCTCGCTCCTCCTTCGTTCTGCTCTACATGGCATGTTATCCCCGCCATAAGTAATCCCTCTCCAATGGATGAGGCCCCGGATCCAAGAGCTCCTCGGCGCAAGAGGGTCTCCAGAGCCTGTGACAGATGTCGCAGTAAAAAGGTTGGTTGGTCCCTCGGGGTATCGTCACCCGAGATATTACTCTGTTTCGTTGCTCTACCATACCATGCCAACAACCCCCCTCCCCCAATTTCATCACTTTCGCTGCCTTCTAGGATTTTATGGGGGAATTCCCTTAGATTGATTCATACTGTTACTCGGTGCAATATTTTGTAAGATGACATCGAATCTGACGCGATGACAATGTACTTTAGGACAAATGCGACGGCCTGCGTCCCGCTTGCTCCGCGTGTCAGGCTTCAGGCCAGACATGCTCATACGATCCTCATGCAAAGAAGCGCGGACTTCCTGAGGGTTATGTCCGTGGTTTGGAAAAGCTCTGGGCTCTTTCGATATGTAATATTGAGGGCTTTGAAGATACAATGCTCTCGTTGTTGGGCACCACAGCCGAGTCGGCAGGCCGGAGAGATAGGCTTATGCGTCTCTGGGGCGATGATGGCGCATCAGAAACACTCCATGAATCCTGGAAGACGAGCCGCCTCTATGGCGCTCTTGAAAAAATGTTGTCAAGTTCCGATGCGCTGACGTTACAAAGTTCCGGCAAGCGTCCCCGAGAGGAACAAGAGGCTTCAGGGAATGAATGGGGGTTTCGCATAGATCGCGGCCCAGATCCTCTACCTTCTGACGGCCCTCGTGTTGTGGAGCCCTCTACTTCTTCTCCTCGCGCTAAAAGAAGTCGATTAGCTCCTCCAACTGCTAGTCAACCTGCCTCCCTTACCACTACCAATGGATGTCCTGACTTACAGCTACCGCCTCAAACCTCGCAATTGTTGGACGTATATTTTGCTGTCACCCACTCCTGGTTCCCGATCGTAGCAAAACATAATATCCTTCGGGCATCTTACCTCTACGCAACAGCGCCAGTGTCCATTACACAGGCGGCTCCAGGATCTGGCGACCATGCTGCGCTGTGGGCCCTCATCAGTTATACAACCTCACAATCACGGACAAATCCGCAGAATGGGGCATCCAAGCTGCTTGCTAAAACAAAGGAGTATTATGCGGTTGCCTGGCGCTTGATTCCTTCGGAAGTGGAGCATTATGAGCTTGGGCATGTGCAGGCACTTCTCCTGCTGGTGTTGGTGAACATCGGACTCGAGAAATGGACTGCTGCTTGGCTGCTGACGGGTCAGGCAGTCCGCATGGCCATTTCCATGGGTCTTGGCACAACTACAGACGTTCGACGATCTGATGAATTGAGGCAAGGCAAAGCAGTCTTTCTTGGGTGTTTTGTTATCGACTCGTTGATATCGTTTCGCCTGTCCCGAAGACCGTACATGCAGTCACGGGATCTTGCCGCTGTGGGCTTGTTAGAAGAAGACGGCTTGGAAGAATGGAACTCATGGGCGGATGTTCTACCAGCAACCGCAGCGGGGCAGGCGAAGAATCCTCCCCGGCGTGGTCCTCTTCTAGCCCTAAGTTGCTTCAACCGCCTCGTTGAGCTGGCTAGTGTTCTGAACAAGATTGCTCAAGATACTGCAGTCCGACATAACACACACGCTTTTGCGCAGCAGCTGGTGCTAGAGCTCAAACAATGGGACGATTGTCTGCCGCTAGGATGCCGGCTTATTGGCCCCGAGAGTATCTATCCAGAACGGCACTCGGCTTTGCTCCCGCATCAGACATACTTGGGTTTAACCTACATAGCCACACTGCTATGGCTTTATTTGCGCATTGCTCCCCATGAACTCGGGCTGCACCGTTCACAACGGCCTGCTACCGAGGGCGCTAAGAAACTACTATATAGAGCTTTACCAATGATATCACAGCATCTTGATAACTTCCGTATCTGCGGCCTGCCGCCAATATTCGAGGTTTCCTTGCATACAATTTCCAAACAGGCATTTACTTTGCGCAATAATATCGAATCCGACGCTTTCCCTTTTGAACGATGGGCTGAAGCGCTTCTGCAACGGACGAAGGAGCTCTCCCCCTCTTGGCCTGTTTATCGTTCGTTGACCACAAGTCTTGAACAATGGTGTCGCTTAAAGGAGCTGTCAGCCCATTCGCCGGCCACTTTCCCAAGATCAAGAGACAATTTACCGATAGTTGTCCCCGATGGACCTACCCAACCATATCCGTCCGATATCACGGAAGGTTACCGAGGTACAAATGGCGAGGCATCTATGCAACGCGTCAGGATGAACAACTCGCACGTGATGGATAACGACTATACATCCTCAATCCTGGGGATCAGTATTCCAGTGGATGGGCAATATATGACACCGAAAGACACGGAGATGGAGAATATGGACCCCTCGAGGGATGCACCGCTTCAACCGCAGTACCAACAGATGAACCAAGTAACGGCGCTGCTGGACAAGTCCAACTCTTCAAGTAGCCTCGATGCGCTACTTCAACCTGCACATCAAAATCCACCTACGCCCGACTCCTCAGCATCGAACACAATAATGTCCGGTATGAACCCTATCAATGATCATTCTCTGTCTTCCGCAAACGCGATGGACCTTGGCGCTGGAACTTCGGGTACCCCGGAGCGCCAAATCTCAAATAGCGATCTAGATTCTATCTTCAAAGATCTCGCATATCTTGATACTACTGAATGGGCCACCAGTCGCGAGGCAGGTTTGAAAGATTTTGGCTTCCTCGATGACTCTACCTTTCAGGCCTTCTGTCATGATCCAGATCGTCTTGCGGGTCCTCAACCTTTACTTCATCCACCTTCGATCGCAGATATTTGGCCGCCGCCGGGTTTCTTCCCAGAAACGTTTCAAGACGCCTCTGAAGATGCGATGGAAAGTTAAGACCTCGAGCTCCCTCCGTCTCGGTGGGTAATTTAGTCTACTGGGAGTAATATTCCCTCCGATCTTGATCTCCGCCTTGGTCGAGCCATGTCAGTGTTGCTCATCAACTTTCGTACTACGATGGTCGTCGCCCACGACATCGTTTCCTGGGATACTAGTATAGTCTCAAGATACCCATTGGTGAGTGTCTCATTTTTCTCATTATCCTAATTACAGCAAAGCAACATACTCATCCAAATACCAAGCTTATTACATTGTAGACCCAGAAACCCTGATACACTGTATTGCATGTAACACAATAGCATGTGGCTGTCATAGACATGCCTATACAAGGATTTGCGACCACTGAGGAATTTGCTCTTACATAAAGGCAAGGCTCGTATAGTTCCGTATTGACATGGGCTGTATGCACGCCAAGCAGTCCTTCCTGTTCAGGTTGCATCATGAAGATGGTTAATATCTAGAAGCATGAAGTAGAGGAGGTACCGTTAGTCTGACGTATTTTATAAACCCGGTTTTCTTTCTCTTCCCTTTTGTGCATCTTCTTTCTTTAGTTACTTCTTTCGGGATGAGATGTCATCCCAAGCACTCCGTTCCAGAAGCGTTGAGTTGAATATGGCTACTTTGGGAATCGTGGTATGACCTAGCAGGCAAAGAAATAAAAAAAAAATAAAGAAGTAGGTGAATGGTAAGGCCTAGATAGGGTATTTAAGCAAAGATAACCCCTAACCAGTTCAGAGTAATAGGCAACCTTCTTCATAATTTCAACAACTTTCACCAAAGCTTTCGTGGCAACTGTCTTGAGAACGACTTGAATTTATCCATTCCACGAATGGGGTGGCACGATGACCCGGTGGGTGTGACACCGATCCGATCAGCTTCTGCCCATACCCAGCGTTGAAACATTGGGTGAACGTATCCAGGCTGCTTCGGAGGAAAACGTCTGAGAGCAGTGGACACCATGAGTATGCCACACCTTGAGAAGCTTAACCAGATTGTTCAAACGACCGAATTTGCTCTGGACCGCTTGAGGCCATTCCAGATCCCTTCCAAGGAGAGCTGGACATTTCAACAAACCCAGAATGAGGGTGCCCAACCAAGGTAGAAAAGGTAACTACGACCCAGATACAAGGATAACGGGCACAATGACAGCAACCGCGCTGGGACCTCCTTGAAGATCTCTTGTTTCGAACTTTATTTCCTGTAGCATCACATTCACGCATGGGATTCTTCTGTATATATTGGTCATTAATCATGCATCGGACCTCGTATGAGTAAGGAGGAACAATCAAAGCAGCCCCAGGGCCTAGCGGTAATTAAAGAGAAAGAGAAAAGAAAGAACGAAAGAAAACCAATATCAACTTTCTTTATCACAGAATATAGCCCTCCCAGTAAAAAGGAAATGTAACAATTGCCGCTCATAGACCGTTATATGCTCCCAAAAACGCCCACCTCGTTGTTTTTAGAAAATTAAAGCAACGTAGAAAGAAAGAAAAGATGATAAAGGATGAGGAGGCGAAGAAAATCGCTGCAAACGCCAATAGTCAGTGTATCGCATTTCGAAAGACATAGGGCACGAGCCTAGCCCTCCGAAGTCCATGTAAAACAAAAAGAGACAGAGAAAGAGAGAGAGATCCCTCAGAGAATGAGGACGTCAGGTGATCGACATTCTCCTGGAGTCGGCGGCGGGTATATGGTCGATTATCGCCGCCAGCCCACATTCCATATTACATGCGCAATGTCTTTAGCGGTGTTGACGGTATCAACCACTCGATCAAAAATACTAGCATTGGTGGATTCCGCATCATCGTATGAGGAGGCTCCCGAAGCTGAAAGACAATGTCGGTCAAGTTCCGCATCGTCTTCGGGGTTAACAAACCACGGTCGACTTCGATCGGTCGAATCGTGGAATCTTTGAGTTGGCTCCCAATTGAAATCTAGATCATTGTCCGCTTCGTCCAGAAAGAAGTTTGCCGCCGGCTCTGAGGCTTGAGTTGTCTCAACAGAGTGAGAAGAGTACGACGAAAAGTAACCAGACCACCGATTGAGTATTGAATCCACCGGTGGCTCCGGGGTGTCGCCCCGATACTTAAGTGTAGTAGATGGAAGTGGTGCAATGGTCCTGTTGTCACTGCTAAAGCTGCTTCGTGGGGTAGTACTCCTCTCGCTTGTCGACGTTTGCCATGAGCCATGTCTCATCAGGACAACGCCATCATCCGAAGAGGAGTCATCGTTCATTGCAGGCCAATCGTCGTCGTCATCATCTTTCACCTCCACTGCGATACACTGCACGACTTCGTCGTTGAAATGTATATGACGCTTTTCGCAGGGTGAACCTGTTCCCGATGACCCATTGATGGGCGTGGCCGTGCAGGACGTTCGCGAATAACCCTCGGAAGACTGACTGAATGTGTGTCCCAGATTTGATGGGTAACGGTAGAAGGACGGCCGATTACGGCTGACCTCCGCTTCCTGTGCCTTCAAAATGGCGCCCGCATGCTGTAGGAGAGTATGCTGCGACAGGGAACGCTGCAGTATCGTTTCAGAAGCCGTCCTTTTCTTCAGGATCGGCTTTCTATCAGTGGGCGTTTCAAGGCGGCTTGGGGGTGGCGAGACGTTGGATACAGTCTTGCGCTTCCTACACGACTTTAACGGGCCATACAGCCAGGTCACGTCGTAGTCCTTCAGCCTGGACACATATGGTTAAACACAGAAATGAAAAGGGGGGAAGAGAAGGGAAAGCCGGTCGAAGCACTAACCAGTTGAGAGTTTCCGGCGATACTGTTCCCCGGTTAAGCTTCAGCTTTGCCCAAGTCCTCCACGACGCATTCTCTAACCTCACGCCGTGATCGTATATTTCCCGCCGGGCAACCACATATCGCCAAGAGGCCCATATATCCTCCTCCTTCCACTCATGGGCGAGGTAATCAACGTGTCTCGATGGCTCTTCTTCAATCAAACTGTCGTCGGCCGGTCTCGGCAAGTTCATACGGTGCATGTCCGTCGATGACTCGGTCGAGGCTTCGCTAGGAGCTTCAGGTAACTTGGGGACGCATGGGCCTGCGTCATATGAGGGCAGTATTATCTCATCAACATCATCATTCTGCCCATCACGTACACAGAATGATAGACTACCAATGGTTGCAGGGGCGGTCCCGGCGAAATCGGGAGAATGGGGAAATGGAGAAAGCGCCGAGGATACCATTGGACTCCGACAATCTCTTGGGGAGTAATCATTGGTAGGCGACTTTACGGTGATCACGTCCGAATCTTCCAAGAAGTATCTTTGAGCGATGGGGTACCGTAGCGGATCGGGAGAAAGTCGCGTATGCCTCTCCTGTGAGGCGGGAAGCACGGCAGCCATCTTCACGAGGCAACGGTTATCATTGGAGTTAATGTATTCTGGAGTAGCTCAGCCTAGTTTTTCCCTGCCTCGTTGCTTCTTTCGCCAACTAGACTACTGATTGTCAAGGACGGGAGGATGAAGAGAAGAATTGCCGGAGGATGTCAAAGTGAGTAGACTGTAAAGAGTCGAAGAACGAGAGATCGACAAGAAGATAGAAGTTTCAGGATCCGAAGAGCATTTTAGAGAGGAGATGGCGTAGACCTAATGGGGCGGAGAAGTACGTATCCGGAAGATGAGATCAAGAATCGCTCAAAGGTAGATATGGCTCGGGGACAGCAAGCTCGATGAATGAGAGGGTGCCTTTTTTTTAAGATTTCCAAGGTATCAGCGGGCCTTTTGGGCAAGACCTTTTGGGGAAGATCCGTTCAAGTAAGGAATGTATGTATGGAATTGTAATTTACTTCTGTGTCCCAATCGGTCTCGTCAGAAAAAAATTCAAAATTCAAAATGAACATGAAGAGAGAATAGAAAGGAAGTACTCACAAAATACTGGACAACGGAGATGGCCGTCTGAATTGCCCCAGATAAAGCGAAGAAGAAGAATGATGATGTAGTGATCTTATAATATCATGAAACGGTGATCTGACAAGCTTTCAATCCAGTGGTCATACCACCTAGTAATAGTAGTAGTGGTAGTGGTGGTAGGTAGGCTGGGGAATAGTAGTAGAAGAATCTACTTTTGAGGTTCGATGACAAGATTTGGTGAAATGATGTGCTTGAATGTACATACATGTAGACATAGTAGTATACGTCAAGGTATCAAAAGGTGAGATGGACCAAGGGGAAGGGGCGTACCTATAAGGTAATTTACGTACGCAGAGTGAGACAAAAAAAATAAAAATAAAAATAAAAGAAAAAGAAAAAGGAAAAGGAATCAGGAAAAGAGAAGAGTGAGTGAGTGAGTGAGTGAGAGAGAGAACAAGGCAAGGTTGCCACCAGGGACGAGTTAAACTTACTCCTCGTAAGTTTCCAGCGGTGGTATTTTATTACCATGCGCCTCGACGGTGAAATGGGAAGAAATTATTGGCTCGAGCATGGAAGGGTTGGGGGGCCCCGCCGCATAGACGGTGATTTGTGCCCCCTCTTTCAAACCATACCTCCAGAGGTGGAGTGTACCCGTCCAGACCTTTTTGGATTTCTCGTCATTCATCAAACCCCATGGAGAAACCTCCAGACTCTTGTGTGAGCCTCGATAGAACGTTGTCTAGATCCTTTTAGTTCGATTTCTTAGACCCTCCTTCTACTGCGGATCATCCTCCTGTACATAATCTTGTTTGATGTATATATATTAATTATTCATTGAGAGAGAAAGATATACAGACATAGATATATACCTCTGCATTTATTCCTTGACCTATTAATTCATGGATTGATTCATATGTACGTATCTTGTATGGGTATGGGTATAGGCTTTCCCTGTAATAACTTTTGGTTCTCTCAGCCCCTCCCCTACTAATACTCTGGAATCTTGTTAAATCATGGCGGCGGTTATTCGTCTGGAACCCACTTCTCTGTGTATCATGATCTTTAGCCTGGTTATCTGGATCATTAATCTAAAATGTCATTGGTAAATTGTTTTTGTGTTCAACTGTTGCACTGTTAATTAATGTCTTGATTATTTTGTATCATTTTTCTTTTTCTGCTATTCTTCAAATATACTTTGCCTTTCTCACACTAAATATATATATATATATTTATTTATTTATTTTATTTTATATTGTATTTTTTTTTGTTATATCAAAAAGGAAAAGAAAAGAAAATAAGAGGAGAATTTTCCATCGCTGCAGGGGCGTCTTGGACAATTCAGATTCCAGATCTTCCTTCGGCTTGGAGATAATACAATAATTGTAATAATAATAAAGATAATGAACCTCATACATACGTTCATTCCGAAGCACCGGCCAAACGGCCTAGCCACTGATTAGACAGAAGTCAAAATATTGTTTCATTTGCTCATAATACCTCATACCTCTTGCTCTTCTTTGGTTGGCTTTTTTCCCTCCCTTCGGAGGAACACGGAAGGGCGTCTAAGTACCCGAACAGTATAAGATGAAAGAGAAAAGCGTCCGGATGCACGGGCGTTGCATGTTGACAACCTGCAGATACATACAGGACCTTGCTAGGTACGAGGTAGTACTTACTAGTAGGTAGTAGGTAATACGCCACTGCATGGACTCGGGAAAAGAAGGAGTGAAAAACAGGACGCCCTCGATCTTCCCGATACAATTCTATCGGGTGGTGGCAAAGAACATATCCATCCTCCTCAGATGTTGAATCTTTCTAAATTCGGGATGGATTCCAATACCTTGTACAATCTACAATTGCTCTCGTCCACATACCTTATCTACCCAAGTTACAGTACATCCATCCAAGCCGTACATACGGCGTATGCCACCGATAAGTTCAAATCTAGGCTCGAGGATCCGAGCGTTGCCAATCGGCCCACTAGCTCTTTCTTTACTATCTTTAGTGATGGACAAACAGACTTCCTCTTTTAGGTAACAGGTAAAAAGAGCCCTCTCCGTCTCAAGGTTTGTTGAACCGAGGAAACACAGCTGAGGTGGCAATGAACAGAAGGTCTTGCAAGTTCATCGTCGGCCTTGTCTTCCATCACTAAGAATTGAACTCTTTTTCGTTTCTTTCCTTTTTTTTTTTCCCTTTTTTTTTTTCCCTTTTTTTTTTTCTTGCTTTTCCTACGTCTCCTCCCTCAACATATCAATGCTATTTAATTCAAGTCCCTCTTGATGATTGTGAATCGCCTTCAAGGCGATGATGAAAAACAGGAGGTGGGGGAGTGGATTAAGTCCTATCGTTAATGCATGTCAGATCGATAAGGATTAAACTGGTCAATTCAACGCTACATAAATTCTCCGACAATACCCTTTTTTTTTTTTTTCTTTCTCAAAAAGTCATACTTCGGAAGATCGGATGCTAGCAAGCAAAGAAGAATGAGGTACATACATACATACATACATCGTTATACAATACTTTCGCCTGTGCGCATTGGTCGAGATAACGCAACTTTGGGGCCTTGCTACGTCAGCTTGGCGCGAGAATGGGATGACTAGAACTACCGACAGAGAGATAGATATCTTTCACTCAAGTCACTCGAAGCTATTAGAGAATGTAGTGTAGTGTCAGTCCACCCTTTCCCAACTAGGCCAATGATCTCGTTCGGTGCAACCTCGTTCTGGCTCCACTTACACCAACGGGTGGCTAAAGTAGTAGATACGAACTAGTACTGTTAGTATAGTGGATCATAATGAGGACAGTGTCTGTGTCAGTGACTAAACACAAAACTTTGTCGATCATCTTTACCAGCACTATCTTAGTATCTATGTCCTAGCGTGCGACACCTCTGCACTACAAAACTAACGCTCTGACATTGTGTGTACATATACGCACAGATATATCATGATATAGATTGTCAACTAATTGAGACATATACTTGGCTGATAAATTCTCTCATTTGTGGTTCATTGATCGTCACGAATGTAGCAAGAGTCGCTAGCCATGATCGTCCCAGATCAATGTGCGAGCGGCACGCTTTTCACCATCGAGTATTATGCAACTAGAAAAGTACTAGCAGCGGTCCGCGCGGCCTTTTTAATCATCAGTTTGGTCCAACAGGTGGAAGGGGCGTCTAAACTCACCGAAACACTGACAGCGCCTAAGCCCGGCACGATGGCTCTGAGTCCGGAAACTGGCGCCCGTGCTCCTGCATCCTTTCCTTGTTAACCTTTTCCGGTCATGATGGCTCACACATTGGCCCCCAGGGATTGCCAACTGTTCACCTGGGTGAATCTTGATTGTGAACGGAAAGGATCAGACGCGCAGAGGTCCTGTGCCGTCGCAGCCCGAAACGATATTACCGCCTACCAACTCATGTCGTTCCGCTTTAGCTGGGGAGGTCCTGCTGGGAAACATTTTGGCTGCCTTAACTTTCCTTGGCATAGCGAACCTGACCCCTACGATGTAGCGGGTATTGACTAGTGTGTGGCTCGGCCTTCAACAGACCATTCGATCCTGGTTCTAGATACGGCTGTCTAGACTCAAGGCCCAACGGTCCTACTACTCCCAAAATGGCTCACACCTCACTTTGAGTTGGACCAATCCTAGCGTGAAACGACCCGGGCTGTATCGCTCAATATTGCAACCTCGTCCTTTTATCAAAGATGTATGTCTTGAGGCTCACATCACTGGCATATTATATATAACTTCATCACAGGGCTGTTGCTGGCCATTACACAAATCTGGGATATATCTGACGACCAGTGCAAGTCAGGAGTCAGGCCAGAGTAGTTAGCTTCCAGACGTATCTCGTTCGCGGGGGCAGAGATATCAAATACTAGGATTATCTTATTCTAGACAAAAGATATACAGGATCATCAGTCTCATCAGAGGCCCCTTGTTGGTTAGGATTTTGGATGTTAGTGACGGGAACTGCAATGCTGCAATGCAGCAGCTACGGGGGATTTGATCCAAGTCAGAAGTCTATAACATCCAAGTATCAATGATAGGGGCTCTGCCCAGGATCTTCTATATGAGTGTGCTCAAGGTGGGATGACTTAAGACACGATATGATCCTCTTGTTGTACATATCTTAGTATATGCGTAGACCTTTCTTTGGAAATAAGTGAATTCTCACCAAAGACTTTAACCTAGGCTCGGTCCGTGTTACAGCTGTAAGGCTGCCAGAAGTCCCAGAACGCCTGCTTGCTGTACATGTTGCATTGTTGTTATAAGCCCTCCAGTTCTTCGCTTCGGGCAATGTTTTGATGGACTTGTCGATCACCAGTTTTTTTTCTCAGTCCACTCAGTGATAATTTCGGGTTCTTATCATGCCCCTCGCCTTTTCCAGGTAAGATAAGTGGGAGAATTCTCTATTCTAAGCTCGTCCGTGCTTTTTTGGGTTTCTTGTCCACGACCTACAGGCCACCTGAAAGGTGATCCTACTCAGATGCTAATAATCCCACCCCTTGGCGGATGAACTGTGCTACTGCTGCAGAAGCTTGAGGGTGTGCTTTGCTAAACAAGACACATCTATCAAGATATTCTTATACAGCTTGATAGAAGCGGTAAACGTCAAGAGAAAACGGAGATGTTCTGGTCCTCAGCAGTAATTTTGAGTCAGTGAGAAATCGAGAACCGTTTCTCTTCAATTTTTCCTCCCGAAAACCCAGAAGCCACTAGGACCCATGTATATCGATAATTGTCACGTCCAAGCCGATACATACAATAATCAGGCAGCTGGTGGCACCGATTCCGTGTAATGAAGCTCAAGACGACCATATACCCATGATTAATTTCTGCAAGACCCGAAAGAGCACTCACTCCCTGGAATGTGCCGTCCAGGAGTACGATAGGTGTGAATTTCGCCTTCCATAAAAAGTCGATCCGCCCCACACTCAATAATGGGACTTTCGAGGCCGTGTGCCTATCGATCCCCTGTTTTAATGGAGCCCAAGAAGAGACAAGATGGTTGGGAATAGGAGTGCATGTTGAAGGGCCCTTGTGCCCTTTATATGTCTTGAGGGCACTGTAAACCTATCGAAATCCAACAATTCCAAGACCAAGAGCGCCAACTCCTGCAGCGAGCCAAGGCTCTTTGATTCAGTCCTTGATCAACGATAGCATAATATCAGTCAGATAACCAAGGAGGGCGACCAACAAACCCAGAATCACATGATCCAGAAGTGGATTTATACTATAAGCAGTTTAGTGCGCCTGGCAGCAAGTCCAACCCCGCGGCGATATCACGCCCTGGGCTTCGGGTTTGATAATCGATTCTACCCGCAAAATAAAATCATTTTGCTGCCCAAGAAAGTCCAAGAGAACCCATTAACCACTTGTTAGAATGGCCGAAGTAGTGCAATCTGGCCCCGTTGAATCTCAGGCCCGCCATGTCGTATATTGCGGGGGTGAGTCGCCTCTTTTACTCTGTGTGACGCAATACAGGGACTGTGAATAGACATCACTGACTTGCTCGATTTACAGTTTGCACACTACCTCCAGAGGTAAATCTCTTTATTCGTCTTGATTAGTTCTCGCGTTCTCTCCTCTCCTCTCCTCTCCTCTCCTCTTCTCTTTTCTTCTTCTCTGTTCTTGTGGATTCACTCCGCCTCGGTTGCTTGGCAGGAAACACAACAACTTGCGGTTTGACTGACTTGCAATTCTCCTAGTACTGTGAGTTTGGAGGGACGGCAAAAAAATGCGAAGAATGGCTGAAAGAGAAACAACCGGAACTCTACCAACGAATCCACTCTGAAGGTACAGTGAAATATCACTTTAGTATAGTGTAGCAGACTAACAGGATTGCGTTCCTTTGCAGAAGCCATCAGCGCTAACTTATCAACACTTTCTATATCTGCCCAGGAGCGTGCAGCGAAGGACGCTGCTAAGAAGGAGGCAAAAGCTGCTCTGGCAGAAGCACGCGACGCAGAGCGCAAGGCAGCCTCCAAGGTCCAAATCAAGCGTGTTGAACGGAACAAACGCAAGCACGTCACGGTCATCGCAGGCTTGGAAGTATATGGTCTGGAAAATAAGAAGGTTGCCAAGGAACTCGGTAAGAAATTTGCAACTGGTTCTTCAGTGACCCGGTCTGCTGCTGGAAATGAGGAAATTACAGTACAAGGTGACGTGAGCGATGATGTTCAGGACTGGCTATTGGAGGTCTATGGGAAGGAAATACCAGAAGCGAATATTGAAATCATTGAGGACAAGAAAAAGAAGGGAGGCAGTTAGCCAATGATAAACTATCGTTGGTTGACAGCGTAGACGCATAATGTACAAGTTCAGTGTTGCATATTGGGTATCATGTCAATAGTATAAAAGTCTCGATAGGTTTGTTCGAGGAATTCAAGGCTGGCCTTGACAAGAAAGGTGTATACCAGGATTTCAGAAATATCGCCTGTCAGAGTTCGTCGAACATTCTCAATGGATCTTGCTCAGTAGCCCTCGCATTCTCGGGATTAGCATACGTCGTGGTTGCCGTGTCAGTAGAGTAGCGGGCATCGTGACGAGAGATCAGCTTTGATGGATATTGAGGCAGCACATATGTATCTCTGGGAATATCTGTGGCCAGCCAATGCATCCCACTTTCTTGGTTGTGCACAAGGGCTCCAGTAGAGCCGTTTGTCACGGTCACTGCTTGCGAAGTCATGTCAGACTCTGGCGACTCCAAGATAATCCAGTTCTGGACAACAAGGGCTATGGCGAGAGTGAGAATTCCTGCGGTAACCAAGCCCCAAAATATACGGAGGCGGCGACTAATTCGTATTTGGCACTCTGCCTCTTTTCTCTCCCAGCGGTCAATTTCTTTCCGCATCTCTTCAAGCCTACAGCTAAGCGCTTCGGCTCTCATTCTTCCCGCTTTCATACGTTCTTCCAGGGCCTCGATCTTCTGCATCTGCGGCTGAAAGTCTTTAAGCTCCCCGATCTGCTTTCGAATGTCATGATCCAGATTAGTGGTCTCTCGTCCAAAGTCCGTGAAGAGTGTCGATGTCGAATCAGAGAGTTCTTGGAAAGAAGCGATCGTGACGTGGAGAGCGGCGAGCTTCTCCAACAGATTATAGTAAGTATAGTCGAGCCTGCGGGTGATATCTGTTGCAAGTGTGCCAATTATTGATAAAGCAGATCGTAAGTAGCTGCCAGTGAGCCCGTTAGATCAACTGCAAGGAACAGGGCATAATATTACATACCGCTCCCCTTGTTTCCTTTTATCTCTTACTTGCTCCAAGTCGTCTAGCGAGCGTATCTCTTGTCGTCTGATCAAACCCAGATGATTGTTCCGGTCAATTTCATCGAATATACTGCCTTTCCTACTACCGGTGCCTAGGCCCGTGGTGGATTCAGATCCCCAGCGCGACCGAGTTGTCTCCCTCGTTACAGGTCTAAGTAACGCAAGTCCATCGTCGGGATCGCTTTCTTTCTCGCGACCACCAGACCAAGGGGGCAGTAAGCCCCTGGCGCTAGCGGAGGAGGCGATGGGGTTCATTATTCGTGGGAGCCGCCCGTCACGAGATTTGCTATGCTTATGCTTATGACGTGGCCTGAATTTGGTAGGATCTAGGCTGGCAGGGTCAAAGGCCAAATGGCGGTGGTGTTTTTCTCGAGGCGCCCTTGAAACGTTTTCGGGATCGGTACAGGCATGATGAGTTTTTAGAACCGGCGGTTCTCGGCTGCTGTTCCAAGCAACATAATCGCCGTCTCTGGGGGCTTCAAACGGTCCATCGGCGTTGGACGGGACCTGAGTGGGAGGTTTGTGGTTTCCGGCGGTGCAGGAGCCATGGGTAGTGAAAGGGTGACAAGCGGAGAGCTGCCTGGATGGCGACAACAACGCGGGCAAAGAGTTTCTCAGTGAAGACTCCATTTATTTTCTGTCACCACCACTCCTCTTTCTTTAGCCAGAACGTGAAGACAGTACGGAGGGTGGGAAGCTATACCTGCATGTGTCGCCCACAATTTCACTATGTGATTATGCGAAACACGACGCCAAGACTGATCGACGCCTGCATTCAGCTGGTATCTTAATATCTCTTAAAATTCCGAAAGTGATCAACAGGCCTCAATTATACTAGTTCAATGGCTACACACAGACACATCTATAGGAAGTAAAGAACACAACTCGGACCACCTACGTTTAGTCCCGCCCAACTGTACATCTAAAACTGAACGAAACTAGTCAGTGAAACAACAAATATCCTAACGTTATGGATATATACATTCACACATATATAGAGTCATGGGCACACATATACATACATGGACCATACGCCCAACTCCTTGTATCGCCGTCCAACCACTAACTTGCACCGTAAGCATGATCTTTGTATTGCCTGAGGATCAGATTTAAGAACGCGGCCAAAAAAATATAAAAATATCAAAAAGCGAATTACCCGCCATACACGCCGAACAAATCATAAACGAGACGGTGATGATAGGCGTAGAATGATAATAGACAATAATAGTAGAGGTAGGAAAAGAAAAAGAAAAAGAAAAAGAAAAAGAAAAAGAAAAAGAAACCAAGACGACTTTTTCCACCACAATTACGAGTTGAGCAATTTATTGCGCTTTTCCTTACGCTTCAATCGTTCGACACGTTTGCGATGCATCTTCGCCGCCATCTTCTCGTAACGTTCCTTCTCCTCCTTCGCAGCCCTACGCTCCTTGATTCTCTGGATATGCGCCTGTGCAAGGATGTCAGTAAGCTCGCACATAAAGTCCCCAATGCTCAATGATATTCGTTCTGCATACCTTCCGTTCCGCCTCCTTCTCTTCTTTGAGTTCCCGTTCGTGTTCTTTGACAGCTTCCTGGTGCTTGCGAGCCTCCAGTCTCTTTTCGTACGAGGTCAGACCAGCGGTAGGACGGAACGGCTTTTTGGTATCGTGCCAGTTTTTTCCTGCGGGTCCAAGGCAGGAAAAATTAGCAGGGCAGGGTGGGATAAGTGGGGAGCCAGAATCTATTACATACCGTTTTTACGCATGCCCTTCGTGGGATCAGCCGGAGTGGCCGATACCGTGGATGACATGACCAGCAGAAAAAGAAAATCGTAGATCAAGTGGAATGGCGCAAAGAGGCGGAACTCGGAAAGTGAGAGATGAGAAGCGGTTGATATAATTATGGTTTTCCTCGGTGGAGGGACTGGCCGCTTTGCGGCCTTCAAAATTTGAGGAAAAAGTTATCTTAGGCCGATCAGATAAACGGATCTCGGCGGAAGTCTTCACCCGATGCCCACTTTGACATCTGCAATGAGGGATTTGCCAGCCACGATTCTTACCCGGCCGCTGTTCTAGTTGAAATTATCACCACTACTGCTGCAGAAGCTCCCCACTGTTCCTAAAATCCCGCGTCTTGGCTTCACTTTCCATCTGCAGGCGATGCCCACTTGCTGATTTTATCGCGCGTGGGTTCGGGCTGACTTAGAAACCCCTCGTTGATTACCATACTTACACCGCCCCCTCCTTCAGGCTCCTCCGAAATCTTACCTTAAATACTCTTTCCCTCCGATTCTACAAGGAACCATACAATGCCCTACCGATAGAGTCTCACCTCTCTCGCTCTCACCTCTCCCCTTCTTTCTCCCTTCTTTCTTGGTTGGATCAGGCGTAAATTCCCTCCTTACTCCCATGGCGGCTGCTGAACATGCGATCACACTCAAGAATGATATGTCAATGGAGCTCCCTACACTTCCACCCAATCAGGGGGTTGAGGCATTTAAGGATATCATGTTCGGGTCCGTAAGTAATCCTGCTTACCGCACTCAGGAGAGCGCTGCCTGTGTTAACTATTCGCCCAAAGACAGCAGGAATGGCTGGAAAAGTCATTGAGTACCCTTTCGATACGGTGAAGGTGCGGCTACAGTCTCAACCTGACCATTTACCTCTTCGATACAAGGGGCCAATAGACTGCTTTCGGCAGTCATTCCAGGCCGATGGCTTTAGAGGATTATATCGCGGCCTCAGCGCTCCTATGGCCGGTGCTGCCATAGAGAATAGCTGCCTGTTCTGGAGCTATCGCATGATCCAAGATGTCCTAAAGTCAACATGTTACTCTTCGACGGACCCATTGCCCTTCTCAGCCTTGCTGGTCAGTGGTGCTGCATCTGGGTCCATCACTTCGCTTGCTCTCACTCCCATTGAACTCATCAAGTGCAAAATGCAAGTACCTCTAGAAGGTTCCAGTGTAAGGGCTAGTCCACTCGCTTTGGTCGCCTCTATATTCCGCCAAGATGGCATCCTGGGATTTTGGCGAGGGCAGCTGGGCACTCTCATTCGAGAGACGGGTGGGGGTGCCGCTTGGTTTGGGGGCTACGAGGGAGTCTCAGCGCTTTTCCGGGCATATCCCACATCCGCTTCGAAAGGTGGTTCAGAGCATCAATCGGTTTCTCTCCCGCTTTATCAACAAATGATTGCTGGAGCAGCAGCTGGTATAAGCTACAATTTTCTTTTTTATCCGGCAGATACAATTAAATCCCGCATGCAAACAGAAGATATAACTCATGGCTCAATTAATGGCCGACGACAAACTTTCTGGGGCGCCGGCAAAGCTCTATGGAAACAACAAGGACTCAAGGCCTTGTACCGAGGCTGTGGGATAACTTGCGCACGATCAGCACCCAGTTCAGCCTTCATTTTTACAGTGTACGAAGGACTACGGAGTTATTTTGGATAATCTGCTCTACATTAGACGCTCTTTTCTCTGCTTTTATATTGGATGATACCTCTGACCATGTTTCCTTTTTTTGTTATTTATTTATTTTATTTTTCTTGTTTTGGGGGGGGGGGGGGGGGGGTTTTTTTTCCTTTATTTTTTTTTTTTTTTTTTTTTTTTTTTTTTTTTTGGGGGGGGGGGGGGGGGGGGGTTTCTTGCCACTAGAGTATTTTTGTTGTTTGTTTTCTAAGACACAAAAAAACCCCCAATTGCATCGCATCATTGTTGCTTCCAAGAGAACTCATCGGGCGTTGGCATGAGAAACAAAAAGCCCTTTTTCTGTTCATAGAGTTTTTCCTCTTCTTTTGCTTTCATGAACCCGAGTCCTAGATGTTATGTATAGCTATCTCACATCTTTGTATATAAGAGACGAAAACAATGGGCCGACTAATGAACATTTTTATGCATTGAAGCGTGCACCGAGACCTGATGCTCTTAATCGAGGGAATTCCCTCGATTGCCTACATAGTCCCATGGTTTTGGCCCATCTCTTATCTACACATCACAAACGAAGATACATACCAGCATAATCGCAAGTGGGGTATGCATCGTACTAGCTGCAAGCCAAACGACATAAACCATCCTGATAGCGGAGCTTCTTTCCACAGCCGAACTCATACCCCTCCCCTCTTCTATAACTTTACGCTATTTACTTACTTGTCGCCTCCCACTCCCACTGAGACAATTGAAATACCCCAGGCTCTAATAAACATGTCTTCTTCTAAATCCACTCTTACTGCCCAGGAACTGCAGGCCCTTGCCTCCAAGGCGATCACTGCTAAAGCTACGGCCTACTGTAAGTCAGTCACATAAGGGGTCCGCCGCTCCATGCGCTCTCCGATTTCTAAGTGTATCTAAAGGTCCGTATTCTAAATTCCGCGTTGGAGCATGTATTCTCACCCAGTCTGGTGAATACATCACCGGTGCCAATGTCGAAAACGCATCCTATCCTGTTGGCACATGTGCAGAACGAGTGGCCTTTGGGACTGCTGTCGTAAGTTGTGAACTTCGCCGGCTTCCTTGCGAATTGTACGGGGCTTCCCCATTCACTCAAGATGATCTTTGCAGGTCGCCGGATATCATGACTTCAAAGCTATTGCTATCGCTACCGATAGTAACCCTCCAGCGTCCCCGTGCGGCATGTGCAGACAGTTGTAAGTTTGAACCCTCCCTCGCCTTGTTCTTGCTTGCTTCGTTTCTCTGTCTTTGGCGGATTGGCATGATGAGGGGGCTCGCACCATGGCCCTCTCGAGTACTTTATTGATGCTTCATTGCTAGCACAATTTACAGCGCTGACGATAAATGTATAGCATGAACGAATTCACAACTCCCTCTTTTCCCATTTACATGTATGGCTCGGAAGGAACCTACACTATCAAGACAATGCGTGAGGTGTGTAACCGCTTTATTAGATAGTTCCTATTGTGTTGTCTTTCTCATTTTTCATACCTCAACGCTCACTGGAAACGTGATTAAATCCATTGGTACTGACTCATGCTCCTCCTGCAGCTTCTCCCCGACTCATTCGGACCAGAAGATTTCTCAAAGGAAAGGGTGCAGTCATCGTAGTTCTGGTAACCCATCTCCCTCCATATTTTTTGGGCTTCCACCGAAGGCTACTTTTTCTGTTGCCTCCAAGATGTTTGCGTACAAGGAAACCGTGATGGCGAATGTTTGCCACTATTGTTAAGGGATGGATCCATTATGCGTGGGCCTACATAATGGCTACATGACATCGTATAAAGCTTTAGGTCAAATTATCATGGTCGACCAAGAAGCTTTTTCCTTCTTAAGAAGCTGTGCTTGGAGTGATAAAATGTTTGACTACTTAGCTGATACAATCAAAAGAGCTGTGGAGCCTCCGAGTGGGATCATATTTTCCTTCTGCTCCCAGATGTCATTTTCCAGGAAACACCTGGTAGGCTATTGGGAAACCCAAGATCGCTCAAGACCGTTAAGTCGGATGAACCAGGTTGCCTCTTATTCTGTAGGTTCGTCATCCGTCCAGGAAATAACACTAAAGGAAAGTGCAAAAGGCGAAACGGGGAAACAGGGGAAGAAGGGGCAATCTGCTTTAGAGCAGGGTTGATTTGAATCGTGGATACAGTGGATCCCACAACAGCACACTATAAATTCATAACACAGTATACAAGGCATACTACTTCCATAATATAACATAAATCGTAGAAAATCACCTTGGAGTTGACCGAAAGCATCGAGATGTGAAGGGCGCGATCAAGCCTCGTCATCTTCATCCAATTCGGCGTCTTCTACGCCGAGAAGCTCATCCTCATCGTCGACAACGCTAGTATAATCGCCTCGGCGCGCTGCAAACGAACCGCGAGATGCGTAGGGCCTTGAATAACCCCTGCCTCGTCCAAGGCGAATAAATCCACTGGCACTCCGCCACAAACTTGTAACTAAAAGCGGAAGAGCGCTGGCAACGGCCACGATGCCTGCCACAATCGCAATTGGCACCGTGACAAACAATGAGTCTCGCGACAGGAAGCTTCGCGAAGTGCCGGCATCTTCGCCAAGGCGAATTTGCCCAAACTTGCCATCCCACCTGCTATAGGCATAGTAACCAGCAGCTCCTGCCGCAGTAAGAGGGGTCACGATGGCAAAGAACAGACCCACGCCACTTATGCCGTGCTTTTGCTTATACTCCTCCTCCTTGTTAGGGCAGGGTTTGGAGACAAAATGGTCCAGGTTTAGACCGCCCTGGCATGTTGTTTGTGGAATGCGGCGGTATCCGGTTGGCTCCCAATACTCGATTGTGTCAGGATCCTTTTTACAGACTTCCACGGCATCCGGCTTAGGAAGTCCGGGAACAAGAGCACAGCTACCATCGCTCTGAGGTTCATAGTTGTAATCACTGGCCAACGTTAGTCTTCGCATATTATCACCAAATACGGGGAGGAATAAATGAAATAATTACCATTCATAATCAGCTCTCGTGCATGTACAGTTCGTTCCTATGCTGTGGACGTGGGATTCTCGCCAATCGTTCCAACATTGGGCTGACGGCTTTTTGCGATGATATTGTTCACTGTGACCAAACAGGCAATTATTCTCCTGGAAAGGGTGTTTCGGCTCCCAGATATAATAATCATCATTATCGCCTTGGTGTTCATCCAACAAGCATGGTCTCGGGCGAATTCCGCTGAAGTCAATGTTGAACGTGGCGAACTTATCTTGAACTTCAGAATTCGATACTCTAGCCCAAAGAAGAAAGTTCTTAGAGGTATCGGATGGCAAAGTTGAGATATCGTTGATCCGCACTTCTACATCCGAAAACTGAAATTCTTCCCAGGTATCGCCCTCATCGAGGCTGTAGTGTATAGTTTTAGTGGGTTTGGACTCGGGCACAATAACAATGACCGAGCCGGAGTCGCCGTATTCCCACATGTATTTTCCCTTCTTGACGGACTTCCAGCTGATTCCACCATCGACTGTGATGAACGTATCCGCTTCATCACCACCGGCTAGATGGTCACCCACATTACCCACGGCCATCATCAGACCAATTGCTGACCCGGAAGCAAAAGTATCCCGTTCGTCTTTGCGCTCTGTATAGCCATGAAGATGGAGTGAACAGTCATCTGTGCCTTTCCCTGTTTCGACCGAACAGCCAAAGCTCTTGCCATCCGCGTCCTTGGCTGGAGGGGGAAGTAACATCCATTGCGCTCCATCATTATGAGTGATCATAGTCTTGAGCTTTTTTGGCGCTTTTTTAGAGACTTCAGCCACGTTGCTGACAACATTTACAACAGCCACCCCCTCTAAGCCCTGCATTTTCTCAAAATCGACATAACCCAGACTGTTTCGGTTAACTGCATCGATGCTAAGAACGTACGATGTTCCATTGCTATTACTCTTGATAATAGGGCCATACTCGGCCCCTTCTGTGCTGCTCGCCGTCACATGCAGGAAAACAGCGTGCGTTGAGCTTTCGAGAACGGTATAGGCGGTTTGAACAGGCACTTGAACGTTTGGCGGGAACTGCGCTGTTGCAAAAGTCCTGCCGTCGACGCTCGTACTAGCTACCAATGAATCGGGGTTCTCTGGCTGCCGCGATGCTACAATGATGAACTCCGACATTGTAGCGTAGTTTATGACATCGACGAATTTGACCTCACTGTCATTGAAAAATTCATCGCTTGACAAAAGTTGCAGTCGACCACTCTTGCTCTGCTTTTCAAATCGCTCGCAGTATATAAGGTTTGAACTGTTTGGCCGGGTTTCTCGACTTTCGAACTCGCATTTCTGAACATAGCTCAGTAAAGGTTCCCAGTTCTTACCATGTCCTTTCTTTATAAAAGCGTCAGAATGGCAGTCACCGGAGTGGCAACCCACAGCGCCGGTCCAGATTAACCGATCTTTGTGCACTGGGTGGAACGCCATAGTTTGAAGGAAGCGGTCTTGAGTGGGTGGAGCCGGAGCCTGAAATGGTTTGAAAGTATGGCCACGATCTTCAGTCCAGAAGCCCTCTTTGCCATCGGTAAGAAGGAAGGCCACGTCGCTGCTATAAGGGTGTAGATAGACTCTGGCAATCTTTTCTCCCTTAAGCGGTCTTTCCCATGTCTTGCCATGATCATGCGTCACATAGACTTCCTGCTCACTGTTTAACATTATGATGGTTTCATCACTGCCGGAGCTACTGGACTGGCGTTCTAAGTAGTAGTACTGCGCGTAGTCTCTTGCCTCAAACAACTGTAAAGTTACCCCAATTTTGCCGTCGGTTGATGGACCACCTGCGTCCTTGCAAGATCTTTCGATTTCCTTGTCTAAATTTTCGCCACCATCTCGGATGCAAGCATTTCCTGGGATGAGCCTCCAGCCCGATGGGCCCATGAATTTATCATCGGGTGTTTTGCATTCGCCTTCCGGAGGGCTGAGTGGGGAGGGAGGGACACATCCTTTCCCATCTTCGGTGCGCCTGTATTCACACTCGAAGTCCTCTGCTGTGCACTTGCATGCTTCAAAGATCGGCTCAGGGTCCTTGAATTCCTCATCCACAAAGCAGTTTGCGTTGGCTCTTCTGCGCCTGTAAAATTGTTTATGACCCATCAAGCAATCGGGCTCGCCATCTTCGTCCAGCCTAGCCGGCCATTTCTCAAAGTCTTCCTCGTTGCATTTCCTCTCATGGAGGCCATCGAAGTCGATTGAGTATATGACATATTCACCATCTTTATCTTCCTTTAAGGAGCCAACAACAATAAATTTCAAACTCGTGGAATCGGGTGTGGTGGTAACCATTGTGGGGTAAATCTTATGTTGGAGCTCGACAGACGCCCATTCTTTGCCATGATCAAGCGAGTAGTTGATCTTGTCCACTTTACCCTCATCACGCACCGCTATAACAACAGCGCCCTGGTCCCCAAACTCATACTTGTGGGGATGCTTAATAGCACGCCGCCATGTCACCCCAGCGTCATCAGAGATATAGAGATTGCATTCAGCGTAATCTTGGAGATGATTGCCTGTATTTCCTATTCCCATCACTAGCCCCGGTGCTGGGCTTGAGAACACCCGCCCTATATTTGTAAGCGCAGTTACAGAATGAAGATGCAGGTTTTCCCCGTCTGCCTTCAAGGGCTGAAAAGTCCTGCCGTCATCAAAGCTAATTCTGCTGATAATCTTCTTTTTGGCGGAGCCAGATTCGACTTCCTTTGGATTCTGTACCGTGTTGACTAGCACAATCCCTTGGATACCAGCAATTTTCTCAAAGTCGACCATTCCTTCCGAGTTACGATTAGTGTGTTCAATATTGCGGGTGAAATAGGTGCCATTTGAGTTTGAAGTAAAAAGCACGCCCATGCCACTCCTTGGACTAGTCAGAACATCCACCTGAAGGCTGTAATTTGTACTCTCTAGCATCGTGTACGCATCCTCCTCTATTCGATGGCCATCGAACTCTGCGCGGTGCCAGGTCTTAGCATCAACCGACACGTACAAGGCGAGTTCCTCGGTCCCTTTAGATTTGGCCGCCGCTACGATGAATTTCTTAACTGCAGCGGTGCTAATGACCCCTGACACAGGTCGTCCTTCTCGGAGCTTGGTCTCCGTGCCTTCAGCGTTGCCCCTGAAGTAGTCATCGGAGTATACAAGACGATTAGCGTGTGGAAGCGGTACTTTCAAACCTGAGACGACACAGAGCGAACGGTCCTTGATCTCATCGGCCAGGTTCAGATCTTCAGCAAATTGCGGATGACCCACAGCCCAAGCACATCCACCAGTGCTCTCACGCAGCAGTTTCACCGTAGCGAAGTCGTCTGTCGTGTAGTATGACCGTACAATGCAATAGCGGCCTGCGCATTCCTCGCCCTGGAATATGACTTTGCTGGAGTCCCCGCCATGGAACACGAGGGGGTAGTGCCTTATCGCCGGAAACTCGGCAATATTGAATGATTCCCATGTTTTCGCTTGATCCGTTGTAACCCAGTGGCGGCCACTGGGCCCCAAGGCGTAGGCCTTTTTATTGTCATACGGGTGCTGTCTGATCAAAAGAACATGATGTTTCATGCCACCATCGCTGCCCTCGACAACTGACCAAGTTTCACCTGCATCGACTGACCTAAGCAGATCGCCATTGACCGTGTTCATGAGAACAATGTCCGTGTCCTCGAAGTAGAAGAGGGAGCTCGGCTTATGAGCGATCTTAGTTGGGGGTGCAATTTTTGGCAGACTCGGCTTTGCAGCACCGCGCTGTGCAATGAGCGCCAATAGCAGGCAGCTCACTAGCAATAGCCATCGAGATATCATGACCGCGAGTCTTGAAACATTTGAAAAAAAAAACACGCACAAAGGTTATGCTTCGGTGAAGAGCTGGTACTCCGATGACGTTTGGGTGATGCGGGAGGGAGGAAGAATCGAGTGGCCGAGCTCGAATACGCACTATCTGATTTGTACTGGATTAAACGGTGGCGAGTGGGTAAAAGTTCGGGGCCGCAACGCGAATGGCTTCAAACTAAGAATGTAATGCGTGGTCGACAGCTGCGTGGCCTCAGAGGAGCTGCATGGTCACGTGTAAAGATTGCTTATCGAAGCATTCGCTTTTTATCTTTGTTCCCTGCTTCATCACTGTCCAGGATCAATGCATGATACGTATTGAGCTTATAATAGGAATCCCAACTACGGATCGAAAATCCGTGCAATCCTAGAAAACAGTTTGTTATATGTTCTGAAGTTACTGGTGGCTACTGAGGATTTGTAGAGTTCTTAAATATGGAAGGTACAATACTATATCTTATTTCCGATGGCGCTACCAAAGCCTATTCATGTATGTGCACGCAATACTAAGGGACCCCACTGGGTGATCACAAGTTCAAAGAATCATTAATCATTGAGTATAGAAGATGGTATTAAGGGCGAAAGCTCAGTATTTCTGTTTCCGAAACTTACGCCACATTTTCCTCATCAAGCCTTGTTCGTCCTCACTAGATCCCCATAGGTGGGAACCGCTATCCTCCAGTGGCAGCTTCAGTGGGTCCACCTTGGGTGGTGGCACGGTCGTCCGAAGGTCGGGTCTCGTTAGCGTCATCTTCAGAGTCATTTCGCGGTCACTACCTGGATACTGCTTGTTTCCAGACCTTGGTGGTAACAGCCATGGCTGGTGTCTTGGATCTAGGCATTCAAGGGGTGATGAGCGAGAGTATTGCATGACATATGATAATTGAGATACGTGCATTCGCTTCTCGCACCGTTCGACTGAAACTGACGTGTCCTCGTCGTCGAGGAACGTGCCGATAAATGTTTGAGGCTTCGTTTCAATCTCAGCTGGTGCCCGCTCGACTGGCATGATTCTCTCATTGTTTAGAGCCGGGAAACCAAACTCAACAGCTTCATCAAAGTTTTGCGGTGAGGCCAGGTAGAGCCGCAGTTTTAGGCGGGCCTCAGGGTCCTGATAATATTGCGCCGATGGATCGATACTGGATGATCGAGGTGTATGGGCTTGACTTTGGCTCGATGAGGGTCGAGAACTTGAATTACGAGCCGTGATATTCATCGGCGCTGTCGGAAACGTCGACGACCGTCGCAAGGGTTGCGCTTTTTGACGCGACACTGCCGATATCGGTTTGCGACTTGAAACGCCTGGATTAAACGATACTGCCGTTCGAAAAGAAAGCCGCCTTTGGGGCGGCAAGTTCGACATCGACTTGGCAACATGCGCGTGGTACTCGTCCAGCCTTAGGTCAAGATCCCCATCCTTTTCAAACCAACGGAAGTTATCATAGAGCGAGTCGTCCATGTCGGTATCAGAGCTGGAATCCGAATCCGAGAAGTCGAAGTATAAGGTGGATGACTGTGAGGTCGTAGTAGAGTTTCTGTCCGAGGGCTGAATTTCAGGACGCTGATGCCAGGAACGGCTTGCTTTCTCTAGCGGGTAAGGCGCTTCAACGGCAGCATCGAAGAACCGAGCTTCAAACTGCGTTTGGTGAAACCAACTCCGTTCTTCTTTGGAGAAGAGTTTCTGCTGGATCTTAGGTGGTAATGAATGGAAGCATCGCGAGTCTACTTGGACGGCAAGATGGGCCAACTGGAACGAGTCGGCTTTGCGGAGCTTCTTAGTCGTGTTTAGAAAGGAAGACTTGTGCGGGTGGCACCTCTTATTCCTATTGATGGATTTTATGGCGGATGTTGGATAGGAGCGACCCTGAAGGGTACAAAAGGGGAAATGGCGAGGCACTCTAGCCAAGCGGCGCTGATAGTGAATACCATCCCAGCGATCATCTTGAGCTAGACGAAGGCGTTCGACATTGGAGAAGAACTATGGTAGGGGATAAAGAGATTCCGTTAGCTACCAAGATCTGAGTGGAGCTTGTAGGAACCAATTCTCTGTTAAATAGCAAGTGACCATGGCTCACGCGGCTTTACTCCGAGGGCCTAGTCCACGCCATAGATGATAGTTTGGCATTTCAACTCCAGTAGTGCGAGCGCTAGTGAAATTCATCCGCAAATCATCCGACTATGGCAATTTGGATCCGAACACAGGCCAAGCTATTGCTCCTAGAGTGCCGCTAGAATGATGACTAGAGGGTCCCACAATGTTCACCGTTCGAATCCGAAGGAAAGGGGATGAGAGAAAGACGACGTGACAGAAGGAGAGTATAGACAATGCCCAAATATTGCAGTATGGGCGGGATATAACAAGAACAATAACTTTGTCCTTCACACACCTTTCGTTGCAAAGCTGGAGGCAGAGATTCAAAGGCTAATTCCTCGTGTGCTTCCCCTTTCATTTTTCCCCTTCTCTTCTCTGTCCGCTTCCTTCCAATGCAATTTCAAGTCGTAGGAAGATAAGCAGAAAGGCCAGGCGTACAAGGGAGGGGTGCAGAGTATCAAGATGAGTACGTAGTTACTAATATAGATGAGTCTGCTTCACTGTAGTAACCGTGCCCAATTTTCTGAAAAGCTCAAGCATGCATGGCATTGTGGGAGTTTGCATTCCTTTTAAAGGAAAAACCAATTATGTCCCGGTGATGTTATAGAGCATCCATTGAGGGGGGCCTCGTTTCCCAATTGCAGATAAAGTGTCTACTATACGGGATCCCTCCTTCATCCCAGCGGCAAAAATTGCACCACCTGCAGACCGTACAGCAGAGATTCTCCACTTTTCCCCCTCACGGTCAGGCTACTTGCTCTGAGTAGTTTGTGTGAGGCACTAGCATGGAGGATTGCAAGCAGAGCTTAACTTTGGTTGGCTTATCCTTTCGCGCGCGCGTGCGCGCCCATCGCACTGACAACGGAACAGCTCATCCTATGAGGATTACCAAGTCAAACCTCTCCCACCTCACCAACGATCCCCATGCTCATTTTTATTTATCATTGGATGGCAGGAGGGAAGGTACCTACTACTAGGACGTGGTACTTGTTTCGAGTATTAGTGTCTTTTCTTGGCGCCGGATTGTTCAGGTTGCATCACATTGCACACATAAATGAGGTACCTCTCACACACTACACAACGAATCAGAATAATGTGATAACTGTGATACCCAAATATCGCTTCCTTCTTAGCGCCAGTGTGGATATTCGGTGTACATAATACTCCTCCCATTCGTTTGGTATATGCTTTTCTTTTCCCACTTCGACTAAACACGCTGTACATCATCTACCATGTGATGGTGTGGGCAAAAGCTGTATGTATATATTGATATATATCTACACATATTAATCTAGGTATCGACTCGGAAAGGAAAGAAAGAGGGGCGGAAGGAGGCAATCCGTAGGGTCTCGGCTAATACATCGATTGAATGAGCTGGGACGGTGGTTGTGCGGTACACAATGGGTGTCACTTAAATCCGATTATCTGTCTCTGCACTTCGTCGTTGGATTCCCTTGTTATGAGCGTTGTGCACCACAACTGGGGCAAGGGTTTCAGCCGTTGCATGACAGCTCGCATGGAAGCAGAGCCTCCTAGTTTTTACAAAAAAAAAAAAGTATAATGGAACTGGTCGAGCGATACTGCTGTCGAAGTTTAGAGATGGGTTTATAACCCTTAGAAAAAGTATTCCAACCGAGAAGAGCTGACCCCCGAAATAAGAAGTCACGTCAGGGTACATGCCATACGATGTCCCCAGAATAATGAGGCACCCCATAAACAAGCTAATCTCAAAGGACACTGAGAACATTCTGCATCGCAGCTGTGTTGGAATCCTCTCTTCGAGAGACATAAGCCCGGACTTCTTGCACGCTGAGGCCAGCTTCCACTTGTCCAGTTCCCCCGGCGCCTCGCCCAGGACTTGTCCCACTATTGTTCCCAGGCCTGCTGCTGCTACTTGCTGCGCCACTCCAGACCTTTTCTCGTAAAGCTTCAGATCCTACAACAAAAAGGCTACCAACCTCCAGCAAGACGTCCAGCGCACCGCTAGGGCCCTTGACCTGCTCATCTATGTCCCAAGACTTGAGGAGATCTGTGTACTGTGTCATATCCTTAGTGACCATGAGGCCGCCAGGTCCATTGACCGCGAATCGCTTAAAATGCTCTAGAAGTAAACTGCGGGTTCCCATGGCTATCTCTGTTAGCAACTGTCGGATATTCGAGCCACTAGGCGGCAGCGATGTTGTTGTCATGTTATGCACACGAGAGAGAAAAGTGCAAATAGACGCACAGGTCTAAAGATTTATCCGTTAGCGCGGCATATTCTAGTTATCAGGCAATAATCCAACTGACTGGTGTCTGTAGCTTCTCCAACCAAGCTGCATTGTCTCCTTCCTTGGGCCGAAAGTCATTCTTCCTTTGGCTAGCAAGAAGTTTATTAACCCAAGTCAAAGAAGCATCAATGATTTTCTGCTCAATTGTATTGACTTTCTCCTCGATTCGCATAGTTGTCAAGTTTGTCTTCTTTTCCATTTCTCGGCGAACAGTGATGCTCCCGGTTGCTAGGGGAATGAGTAATGTGTTTATGCACATTACCATCAAGTTTGCGATGCCGATTGCGTTCCGGACCGCCGGGAGGTAAGCAAAATCAGGCTCCATTTTTCCTGATTCTTGTGATGTCGCCGTCTCCAATGCGGCATCAAGACAAACCTCAATGTACCCTTCTCCCATCATAGAAAGGAGAAGAGCCAACAGAGCCAACATGTCCTTGGGGGTTTCGCTGCTTACACTGAGCTCCAAGCCCCGGCTAACTCCCTCAGCAAGCCATTTGAGCATTCGTTTGGCATGAGATATGTTAGGAATACCATCCTCTTCAGTGAGTTTGATATCAGTTCGTCTTAAGAGGTCATTGGCATCCCTCAAGCCCGCCACCTGAAGTAACATCCTTCGCTGTGTCGGTGAGTAATCTGAGGACTCAAGGCGATTGATGTACGCGTCCCGTGCAGAGGATAGAAGTTCAGTACCCGACTTCGAAAGAGATGCCATGAAGGTGGTTGCTGCCTTCTTTCTACGTGCATGGAAGGTGGTGAATTTGAAAAGCAAAGATGTATACAGCTCTTCCAATGTTTTCTTCTCCCTCTCGATATAAGAGGAACCAACAAAGTATGGCACAAATAAATCTTCCAGTTGTTGATCGAGAACCAATGCCGTCTGAGCGGAAATGGTATCGGGGTGTTCAGTCAAACCATGGGCCTTTAAATCATCGACTAGAGCGCTGATGTAACTGCGAGAGCTCTGTAGGGAGCGTAAGAAGGCGAGCGATGAGATGCTATTAGCCTTCTCAAGAACCATTTCAAGTCTCTGTTGAATTGATTGCTGGAACACGCGCTGCAAGAACTTCCCGAGGACCTGTTCGTAGTAGGGGAATGCTCGCTTTATAATAGCTGATTCCTCCTGAACTACGACCTTAACCTCGTCAATGAGTGACTGAAGACTAGGTTCCACCTTCAGAGGCTCCGAATCTGGGTCTGCAAGTTGTTCCCAAGCTTCTGGATCCCCCCCTACTTCTTCTGTGACCAACTGACTTCGATCGATAAAGAACTGGTGCTGGTTGACAAATAGAGCGATAACACTAGAGCCCCCATTGAAATCCTGTAGCACAGTTGCACAATCTTTCATACCTTCAAAGTTGGCCTTACGATAGAAGTCGTCGAACTGTTTTAGGAGATCCTTCTCTAACGTCTCCGAGAACTTCTCAATGATCTCCCTTGTATTCAGTCTGGTCAACGCTGTCTCTTCAACCCTACCCTCGTCTGCAGACCCATCCCCAGACGGGCCATTGCTCTTTCCTCCCGAGTCGTTCCAGCTTTTCGGGTCAAGCCTTTGGCTAATCCTCAGTAACTGCCGCGCTATCTGTGCGGAGCGTACTTTAGCTTCACCAGTACCGGACCTCCTCAAGTTCTCCAAAAGCGTAAGTTCTCCCCTGTTACTTACGCTATCCCAACACTCAAGAAGGAAGTGGGCATCAAGTGCTCGGCGTCTCTGTCGGTCAAGTTCTTCCAGCTTCCGGCCTGTTTCAACAGCCATATTACCAGTAGACCCGGAGAGTTCGCTCCCGGAAAGCCCAGCTCCAGCACCTGTCCCATTGAGCGACGTATCAAGTTGTTGGAAAGATTCAATGGTCTGTTTCAGCTTCCTGCCAAGTGTACTGATATTCTGTGAGTGCTGGGCCTCAGCTCGGCGGACGGCAGCTGAAAGCTCGTTCTCCTTGATCTCTAAGTCACCAGAAAGTTCACCAAGTCTCCTCTGTGCATGTTCAAGGGTCCGAATGAGTGGTTTGGGATCGAACAGTTGGTTCCCGGTGGTGGGGCCTAGCGTAGAGCGGCGGTTTAAAATGGCACTGTCGGAAAGTGCTTCGATGAATTCTTTGACTATGAAATCACGGCTCGAAAAGTCCTCAAGAGTGAAACTGGGGCCTTGAGGGAAGACAGATCGCGACGTGGGAGTTGAGGTTATGGACGCACTGTCTGGCATCTTTCCAACTAACGGCAAGACTTCGTCGGCATTGGGTCATTAAACAGCGTAGTACTGTTATACGATGCAGTCTAAGATATGTGCTTGCATCTAGAGCCGATAACTGCTGGGGGGTGTGGAAAATGGAGCTCTTGTCTTAGTTTCACTTCTAGGGAATGCAGGATAATTACCTAGTGATAGCGTACTAGTATTAATAGCATGGAGTCTAGAGAGTAAGTGCCGACTAGTTCGATTGCGTAATTGTGTTTTGTTCCGCCGTAAGTTATACCATAGTAACAGGAAAGGGCTGCTCCTGACAGGTAAATGGGTCTGTCTCTCTAAACGTACTCACTGAGATGCAGTCAGACTGTCTTGCAGAACAGGTATGACCGAGAACTCTCAAGAGGCTTGCAGACCCCATACTGTTAGTAGGCTATAACTAAGGCCACTTTGCCACTAGTACATGTGCCTAGTATGTACTGTATGTACTGTACTGTATGTACACACTATTTGTTGGTGCAGAACTGCGTACATGTATGTACATACAGTACATGCAGTCACATAACGTTCTCCTAGGTACGTATTTACATTACCTACATTCAGTATGGTCCATATTAGAGGTCCCCAAGGAAAATAAAGGAGACAGATGGCTTTAATACAAAAACATATGCTGTGATCATTGGATTGTCAGGACATATTTACATACATACTCCGTACATACCTCAAGTAGATTATGGATAGGAGTGGGGATATGGGCCAAATACACTTGTTTACTGATCTGTCCAACTAGTAAATAGGGCTCTATGGTTGCCTGGGTCTGTAATATTAGTGTAAACGTAGTCATCCACAAGGCCTTTGACGATGCTTTGCGCAAAGAGATACTTAGAAAGAGTACCTTCCTACCTGCTCACACTGACCACTTCAGACTTTCGGCACGTTTAATTGATCCAACAAACACCTGTCAATCTCATCTCAACTACTTTTCGAGCATTCGCACTCAAAACCATGGTATCACAAAGGGATAAAGAGCTGTTCAGAAATGACGTTCGTGCCCGGGGAACAAAACTTAGTGCTGCTGATCGTGAGAGCCTTTTGAAACCATACCTACCAGACCCCTCGGAGCTACCACATCGGCCACTGCAGCGGCGCAGGAAAACTTCGCCCAGAAAGACCCCTATCCGGACTTTCGTGAAGTCACAACTGCACCAGCTGACCTATACTCTCATTCACATTTTCTTTGGTATCGTCGTTCGCCTCGCCCAGAGCTACCATGCCGTCGTGGATAGGGTGTTCGCCATCGTCTATTATCATCACCGAACCCCCGAATTGATCAGGAAGGATGTCAAGAATTTGGATCGTTTGCCGGAGCACTTGAGTGTTATATTATCATTGCGGCAGGAGGAGGATTCTCTAACGGTTTTAATGGATGAAGTGGCAGAACTTGCTGCGTGGAGTGTCAGTGCCGGGATCCCTGTGTTAAGCATTTATGAGAAGAGTGGTGCGTCTGTCCTCTACAAATCGAAACAGTGCGAAATAGCTTTCCTAACGATTTATATTGCCTAGGGGTCCTTAAATCATGCATTCCCACCCTGCACCGCATCGTTACAAGCAAGCTATCTGCGTATTATGGCTCTCCTTCCCAGCAACCAACGTTGCGACTTTTTGCCCCTCATCACTCTGTTTATCAACCACAGGACAGCAGCTCAACTGAGAAAGCCAACACTGATTCTCTGACTGTGCTTCTATTGTCGGCTACCGATGGCCGGGAAACATTTGTGGACTTGACAAAGACGCTCGCGGAGATGTCCCAGAATGGAAAAATATCACCAGAAGATATCACAATGGAACTGGTCGATGCAGAGATTAGCGAGATCACGACACAGCCATCTCAGACAGCTTTACCGACCTCCATCGGGAACAAAGCAGCATCTATTCCGAACGTTTCAGTAAAACCAGAGCCTGACTTACTATTAGTATTCAGGCCCTTCTTGAAATTAGATGGTTATCCACCCTGGCATATTCGACTTACGGAGATGTATTGTACGGGTGATAAGAGCAACAGCATGACAGGATATGGGGAGGCTGTTGAATATCAGGGTTTTCTTAGGGGTCTATGGCATTATGCAGGGGCTCAAATGCGATTCGGTCGTTGAGCCTTTTCTACCTCCTGACTGTCTTTCTATTCCCATACTCACATCCTTCCAGCTGTGGAAAGGACCTAAATCGAGACTTGATATTAAGCGTCATATTGTTTCTTGATGAATGACTTTGAGATGGTGGTCCCCGAATTGTGAACTACGCCTCTAATTCCCACAGGCAATATACATTTTGGTGTAAGATTATATGCATATCACAGATTGACTAGATCCCCGTTAATAGGTAACGTCTTCTTCGGTGTTTATATAATTTGGTTCTAGTTAAAACGTTTGAGCGACTATGCTGTTGGGTAGGTTATTTTTTCCCATGTAATGCGTCCCTTACTCAGCTTACGTACATAACGTACTTGTGCCTCTACATATTGTTCCCAGCATTTAGATGAGATTCGCAAGCCCAGGCAGCGTTGTTTTGCCTTAGAAGTCAAGATTTTCTTTCGGCTTATTCCGTAATGGTTTACAATACTAGCTTTGGCCTTGTTTGCTGACTTAGTCTATGCAATGTTTTGGTAGATGCGCCTTTAAATGAGACATTCGTGGCTCTGTAATTCGTATGCTGGAGAATGTTCTAGTAATGTGGGCATTTTACATGTATGTACGGCATATTTAGGACAATCCACATATATCTCTATTAACTCTGATATTAGCCGCCGTAGGGGGCCTGGGTTATATACCATTCCGAACTGGTTGCTCCAAGTGGAGTACCTCGGAATATTGGTGCTGTGAATAACAAACGCGTGCCTTAATCAATTGCTTAATACGAGCAAGATACCGAGTTCTGCCTGCCATGTCAATTTGTCTCGCTGTCAGGCTGATTAGATCATCCGCTTATAAGCTGAGAGTCACGGGTCAACTTTGAGGTCTTGATAGAGTGAACCCTGAGCTCACGACTATTATCTCCCAAATGTAACCTGATGGTCGCGTGCTGCTTGTTTCTGTTGGGTTATATGATGGACTTGCCAGTGTGATAAATGATCACGTACACAGTCCAAACATCGAACCACTTCTATCCCTGTTTCTGTTACTCCTTCCACCGCACAGCACGAGCATATCTTCCTCGGCTGTCCGAAATGTGACTTATTCTTGCTTGTGTCGTCCTGTAACCGGCTCGAAGCATCTTTGAGCAGTTGGCTCTCCGCGAGAAGATATATGGAGCCACTGCAATGAATAGCATCGCACTGGCGGAGACAAATATAGCAGCTACGCTCGCCGCACAAATCACAGTCGACATATGCATCAAGTACTTCCTTGGTAGTTGGCCTTCTGTGGCATATGTGGCACGGTCGTAAACATGAAGCAGAGGCGCAAGTATTATGCTGCGAATGAGGACTCGGAACAAGGGTTCTAGGAGATACAGGAGGGGACGGTACATTGGAGGTTCCGGAGGTACGAATATTTGGTGATATTATCTTCACCTGCGCTATGCTCGACTCTGGCGGCTGCGTGAGGCTATTCGACCAGGCCTCTGTACTTTGTGGGTGGATATATGACTGTTGAAGAACTCGTCGTTTTCGAGGAATGCATCGCTGGGGAGCGGAGAATTCTCCGTTATCACCGACCAGCTCTGGACAGTCTAAACAAAACGGGGCGTTTGTTGTACGAGGTGTTGTCGGAATAAATTTGGTGCTGTAAGACATATCCTTCAGATTAGTTAATTTCCCAGTCTATTAGCTCAAATCAAACCCTCATTGTTGTATTCGTTCCCTTTTTTATTTGTTTAGCGGTGCCCCGGGTGCAATTGTCTTACTTACGTATTAGGTATAATAACAGCGTCGGACAGGGCCAAGTCCCTTTTTCGCTTCTTCAGTTGTGAATTTAGAATAGGCATGTTGTCCTGCTCAGGCATGATACCTGGCATGGTGGAATGAGGAGCTGTTGTCGGGAAGTACATGGATAAGTTCATCGGTGAAAATGTCTAGGTAAAAGGCTAGGTTTGCCCGTCTTGTCGCTTCCCCAGGTGTATTGGGCAAAGAGAGAAAAATCGGATAAATGGAATGGAATAAATTCGTTGCCTTTTTTCGGTCGACGTACGCGGAGCGCTAACCAGCCATAAGTGATGTAGAACTAGGAGAGGTGAAGATAATATATAATGTTAACACGCTTCCGAGGCTTAATCTTGGCGTTAGGTATAAGTAAAAGATCCACTGTGTTTCAGCTCTAGTACTATGTACCTTGGTAATAAAGTAGGGTAGCAGTTTATTACACAGATATCTCTAGCTGCACTACGAGTTCTATATAGCACTATGTACATACTCTGGAGTACATTGTATGTACCCATGGATACCCACTTCTACACAGTACAGAGTAGTAGTAGATACGTAAGCTACCTGCGTACAGCACATAGTACGGGAGGTACAAAGTTTTGGTACAGAGAATACTTACAAGAAGTCCAGTAGATATAGACTCACTGCATGTCTTTTTTATAGTGCAAGGGTAAAAGTTCCAATCGAATTACTTGGCAGCAATGGATCATTCAGTGACTTATTATGTACCTACTCTCACACCGTTAGCCTCCATACGGAGTATTTAGTTCCATACTAAAGTACTCCATTGCTTCATACTCTGTACAGTCTTAAAACTCAGAATACCCACCACACCCATTTAAGTACACCCATGTGGGTCCTACTAGTATGTTCTGGATGAAGTACCTCTCAAGTTAGTCTAGTTACTACTCCCTACCAGTTATCTTACCTTGTGCTTGGCTTCTTCAACGAATCCCTGAGTTGAGAGCCGCCCCTGTTATCCATCAGCCCTTTCTTGAATTCCACCCCTAGGAGTGTTCATATGGTCAACATTGCCGAGCGCATGACTATTTGTCGTCTTCCGCAATCAACGTCATTTGCCATTCCAAGAGATAACCCCCGTAACGCAGAAGTGGCTTTCTGACTTGCCTTACCTTGTCTCTACAATCTAAGCGACACTGTTGGGATCATCGACTTAGGAGAGCTGTGGCATCTTCGCGATGGAGAACGATATTTCTGAGCTAGTTGAGAGGTTAGGGAGCGACGAAGATGCGGTACGAAAAATGGCAGTCTTCAAACTTCAAAGTAGCATTGGTGACCCATCGTTTGCCGATATCTTTATTGCAGAAGGAGGCCTAACTCGACTGCGCTATTTGAGCTTACATGCCAGTGGAAACACACTGGCCTATAGCCTTACAAGCCTTGCCAGACTATTAGAGGTGGACAAAGGATGGGAGTTCGTCGATCAGGAAGTGGTTGAAAGAGTATGTCGTGGGATTGGCGCGCATTAATCAATGCTCTGTATCAGTCAGTATCCATGCTGATAAATGACCCTGCCCCTTTTAGATTGTCGAACTTATAGTAACGCATCCTTTGGTCAACATTTTACGTGGTGCAATGTCTATCCTGGTTTCCATTGTATCGCACCCTCATACAGGTGGTCGCTTGTCGCAGAATGGGACTTTTGGTTTTCGTGCTTTGAAACCCGCGATCGCTATCTATCCGCAGTTTTTGGAAATGCTTGTTAGCAGGCTCTCATCGGCTGATCATGCGCTTTGCGCCAATGCGCTTCAACTTATAAATTCTCTTATGCGCGACTCAATCACGAACGATTCCGAATTAGAATGGCCCAAGTTCATCCAAAAACTACAGGATCTGGGTGTGATTCGAGCAGTTTATGCCCTGATGCAAAGTAGCGCATTACAGGATCATGCGCATCCTTTGATTGAATTCCAATCCTTAACCAAGGTTCTTCTAAGGAAATGGAGAGACATCGCACTAGATTTGGAAAAGCCAGAACATAGACGAGCACTTAAAGGTATACACTTGGCCAGTAACAGTGAACGGGAACTAGAGAAGGGGGGCGAGAGTGGCAATGAGGCGCGACGTTCAAAAAGGCACAATCCAGAAAAATGGCGCCGACTGGGGTTCGAGTCGGAGAGCCCTATCGTGCAATTTGAAGCCATGGGTTTCCTGGGAATGATGGATCTGGCAGATTATATCAGAAACTACCAAGATGAATTCCAGAAATTGCTTTTAGAGCAGTCAACGAAGCCGGCGCAGAAGCGGTGTCCCATAGCGCGTGCTTCTTTGTCTGTCACACAGATCCTCTACGAGCATTTTGAAGTTGATAAGTCGGAGATGGAGGATGCGAAAAGCTACCTGATATTAGAGTCTCGCGCTAACCTTGACAAAATATTTAAACCCTTGCTGTTACATTGGACCCGTTTACATGTCGCAGGTCTACATGCCTTTTTCCGACTATGGAAGGTCACTGGCGCGGAAGTGGAAGATTACGAGAAAATCGTGGAACTTGTTCGTATCCTTGTCGAATCAGTTGTTGGGGGAGCACCACGAACAAGAGATGTACAAGATGTGGAGGACGACCTGGCAGAATTCGAATATTCTCGGCTTCGCGAACTACAGATGGAACTCCTGGAGCTTACATACGAGGATGTTTGGGGGCAGCATTTGCGACAAGTACGCGAAGAGCTACACCATGAAGCCTTGCAGTTTGTCAAGGAACAGAGAATTAGATGTCTGCTACAAGGTGCTTGGTTTCCTAATGACGGCAGTCCCACGGCGGACATGGTGGCTTCGGGGGATCCCAGCTGGAAATTTGTTCAGCTCTCACATAACCGAAGGATTTTACATTTTGGACATTTCAACAGCGTAAAAACGAAGTGCCCAGAGCTTGATGCACTTCCAGAGAAGCGTAAGAATGCTTCCTTTTCATCAGTTCCCCAACGTCATTACTGTGCTAATCATCTGTCACTCTACCAGTCGATCTCTCAATTGTATCTTCGGTAGTTTCGAATGTTTCAGCAACCTCCGATGACTCCTCGTCGTCGACGGTCAAGAGCGTGTCGCATCATGTCTCTGCTACTAAGATCACTATTCATGGCCATCCTCAGTCTGGCTCGTCCACAGATGACTCAAGAAAGATCGAAGGTCATGCACGCTCTGCCAGTAAAGCAACTCACAGGGAAGCAGTTCTATTGACTCTGCGGCCACAATCACCAAGCATCGCATCTGAGTGGCTTGACGGGTTACTTATGCTTCTAAACCAACAGCCTATCACAGCAGAGACAAGCAAATTGGTAAATTTGGTCAGCGACTATGGACTTAAGATCCGTTTATTGAATGTTAGGTTCGATGATGGAGTATTCGCGGGTGAACCTCCAAATATTCCCTCACGGGAAGACCTAGATAATGATTATTATTATGATGTTTTTGGGGGGGCTTAGGGTGCTTGTCATGTTTTCTTGTCATTTATTACCAATGAAACTATAGTAGCGAGTCACGTCAAAAACAGTTGAACGCTTGTCCATGTGTTGTCATCAACTAGCTACTTAGCCTGACTTTGATATTGATCAATATATATGTACATGCACTTCTTGGCCTCTTGAGACGAAGTACGGTACCGTACATAACCTACATTATAATACCGTTCGGTGAAACATAAGGAACAAGAACATCCTTTCTTCAATCTTTCAGCTCATCGATAACGTTGAAAGGCTTGCTCTTTGGCTTTATTGAAGGGACAGGCATAACCGACTCGTTTGATGTCTTTCCAAGGAATTCTCTTACAATGATTTCTGCATATGTCCATATCTCCCAATGATGGCTAATCGCCCCAACAAACGTCAGCGGAGATTGGCCATCCATCCGTCAGATCAGGACGCTGAGCTTGGCACAGAGAATAACCAGACGAGACCTACTCACACGCCTTCTAGAAGGGCCAAAGCTGATCCTGTAACCCTTTCAACTAAACCTTCACAACTCGAAGCGAAACATATCCCGTCGGGCCCAAATCGAGCTTACTCCAGTCTCCGAGTCTACCGCTCCTCTCCGCCCTCCGACAAGGAGACGCGCACGGCATCCTCCCTCCAGAAATTCTTTGAACCTGCAAGTAGCGAACAAAGATGGTCCTCTCGGAGATTCGAGGCGACGTGTCTTCCCACAAAGGAAGCAATAAAAGGGGTGAATGGTAGCGAGGACGACAACAACAATGACGATATAATAGATGATGATTATGATTCCTACGATGAATTATTTACTCAACATCTCGCGAACGAAGAGGTAGCGCGAGATATCAGCAACGACCAAACGCCTTCACGAGTGCAGTCACCCAAAAGAAGCACAAGTGTTGCGCGTAAATCTACGAACACACGCAAACGCTTCGTCCTACCAATGGTCTCTAATCAAGAAAATAACAGCTCACCATCAATCACCCCTCAGGCCCATAAGCTGCCTTGGGCGCAGCAGTACTCCCCTACAAATCTAGACGAGTTGGCGGTCCACAAGAGAAAGGTGTCAGATGTGCAAAGTTGGCTTCGCAACGCCTTTGCTAGAACTGGAGAACGTGTAAGTTTCTCCTTTCTGTCATTTATGTACTTCCGACCTAAAGTTTTATTTGCGGCGATGTTGGATTTCATGTCTTGACGGCAACAGAAACTACTTATCCTTCGAGGTCCTGCGGGGAGCGGGAAAACGACCACAATAAACATACTGTCTCGGACGCTAGGGTTTGATATACTCGAGTGGAAGAACCCCCCAGTTTCAGAGTTCGCTACAAAAGCATATGTATCGGTTGCTACTCAATTTGAAGATTTCCTAGGCCGCGGTGATCAGTTTAGAAAGCTTGATTTAGACGGGCCTACTGACCTTCCACAAGACTCTGATCTCTATGCTCAGCAGCGTGTCATTTTGGTTGAAGAGTTTCCAACTCTCTTGCATCGAGGCTCTTCTGGTTTGGCTGCATTCAGGCTATCTTTGCAGCGGTATCTTGCTATGGAAGCTACATTACCCTCTTATGGACTTAATCGGAATGGGATCAATGCCCAAGCCAGCTCTCCTGTTGTGATAATCGTTTCAGAAACTCATCTCACATCAGGTTTCTCGTCAGAAAGTTTAACAGTCCACCGGCTACTCGGACCGGAACTTTTCAACCACCCCGGTACAACCATCGTTGATTTCAATAGTATTGCCCCAAGTTTCATGTACAAAGCCCTGAAATTGATTTTGGAAAAGGAAGCCCGCCATTCCAAGCGCAATAAGGATCCAGGCCCTGCCATATTGCAAAGCATCTCTAGATCAGGGGATATTCGAAGTGCAGTTGCCTCCCTAGAATTTCTGTGTCTTGATGTTGGGCGTTGGGGAACCCCTGCTATAAGGGGAAAGAAGCCATGTCGCAACAACGTAATCCTTACACCCACGGAGAAGGAGACACTGAAGCTAGTAACCCAAAGGGAGACTAGCCTAGGAATATTTCACGCTGTCGGGAAGATTGTATACAACAAGCGAGACGATACGGGTGTTGCAACCGAAGGTTCTATACTACCATCGCCTCCAGAGCATATGCGGCACCATGACAGACCGAAAGTCTCACAGGTCCCTGTTAATGAGCTCGTGGAAGAGACAGGGACTGATACACAAACTTTCATCAGTGCCCTGCATGAAAATTACGTGCCATCTTGCGATGGCCCATCGTTTGTGGATTGTGTTGATGCATGTATAGTCGCTTTATCAGACAGTGATATGTTATGTGCCGATCATAAAGGGCTGTATGGGAGTCGTACGAATAGAAGCAGTGCTGGCGTCGATGTAATGCTGCAGGAAGATATAAGTTATCAAGTTGCTGCTCGTGGTTTACTGTTTGCTCTCCCTCACCCTGTGAAAAGACGTATAGCGACATCAACTCGAGCAGATCGATCGAGCGATGCCCATAAAATGCTCTTTCCAAGCACGTTGCGGCTGATGCAGGAAGCAGAGGAGATTGGGGGCCTTACGAATGTTTGGGTGAAAAAGCTGCTGAATTCATTTCGCAGGACATCGTCAGACCTGGATCCTGGCTTATCCGCGTCGTTGACAAGATACAAGCCAGATTGTGTAGAAGATTACGGCAATGATCAAGCGGGAATCGTGACCATGATACCCCGAGAAGATCTCGTGCTGTACCACCTACCATATCTCACAAAGATCCATCGCGGTGAGGTCGAGATCGCCCAGCTTCGAAGGATTACTGGATTTCATGGAGCCGGGTGCCCACACAGTTGCCAGGGAAATAACCCTAATGGAAGCAGCCTATGTTTGGCTTCTGCTGGTCACGATATTTCTCAAAGGCTACACTCAACAAATCTCAAAAGCAGCACTTTTGGGTCCCAGCTGCCGGTTAACTACGAGCAAGAGAAGAAGCTTATCTTGAGCGATGATGATATTGTTGACGATTTGTGACATCTCTCATCACAGGCACCAGCTGATCCTGTGTTCTAGTTTAATCCAGGCATCAAGCCAAACCTTACACTAGTATGTCTCATGGTATTTGGTTGCGGTGAACATTAAAGAAAGATTGCCCGATAAGATAAGATCATGCCGGAAGCCTCGCGATCGTATCCGTACGGAGTACTTATCTGTAGTGATGTTGTTACTGACAAGGGTAAATGCATGACTAATCAGTCTCATATAACGTAATTGATAACCGAGCTGCGCAAACAATCGAGCTGCGCAGTCGGTCGCGTATCGGTTCCCTTGTATCGCATATTCATGATCACAATATATTATCCGGATAATCAAAAATTTCTGTACTCTCTGAACTTATCTACTTACTACTTTAATATATATTAGACTATATATGAAATTTAAGATAGATAGAATATATTTTTGTTGAGATATTGGTGTTTAAAAATGTACATTTTGTATGAGATACTGAGGTGGCCGAGCCGCTTACCGGTTACGTTAACTAACTTTAGGGACGGTATCTATAACTAGTTAGTCAACACCGAAGGAGCTAACTAACTAGTAGTTGAACAGTGATTCCCATCAGACCAATTGACTCAGTTGGCTGTGATCATCTGTTCCTTCAAACAGTGTTTCATGTGTTCTTTAACTCAACCCCAGAGACTTGTCAACTTTACAATTACGCCAAGCAAAACTCGTCCATCTACTTCTGCAACCTAAGGCCTGCCTTTCTATGAGGTTCATATAGTCGTTCTCATCGAGAAAAAATGCTCAAACAAAATGCCGGACCCTTAAAGAATCGAGGCGTGGATCGCTCAGTGGTCACGAACGGTCGTTCGCGACAGGCTGATGATCATCTGATTGAGCACGATGGACCCAAGGAGCCATATGCGAGCTTAGGTAGCATAACCACTACTGCGGCTTATACTGCCCTTCCCGGCTGGACAACTATAGCTTTCATGATCTCGCTGATTTTCGGTGGTTGTTGTGCCAATGTAGGTGGGCAGTAAATGATAATCTGCCTCTCTTTCTGACAGTTGGAGTACAGGTCTTTGCCCTGGAAGCCATTATTAAGTAAGTCGCATGTGCAAATGAAGTACCAGAAGCGATAACTGATGTCGCGACACAGGGAGCAATCGAGCTCAGGTAATTCTCATTCCTCCCTTCGGTTCCAAATACGGTTGTTTTTCTTTCTCCTCTAATATTCGCATCGCAAGGACCCCTCATAACATTTGCACAATTTATCCTGACTGCATTGTTAACGTCTCCAAGCTTTCTGTCTCTGTCGGCGGGCCCTGAGTCCCTGTTTCTCAGTCGACGTGCAATTCCTCTGAGATCATGGCTGGTGTACACAACTTTCTTTGTGGCCGTCAACCTTCTAAACAACTGGGCCTTTGCGTACAAAATCTCTGTCCCACTACACATTATCTTGAGATCCGGGGGGCCCGTGGCGTCCATGCTCGTTGGGTATGCATTCAATGCTAAGAGATACTCACACGGCCAAATCCTCGCGGTAGCTATGCTTACTATAGGTGTCATCGCTGCAGCGTTGGCTGATGCTCGTATGAAAGGTCAATCCACAAGCGTTGGGTATCACCAAAATGATTCCACTATGGCTAGTACAATGATTGGGTTCGGTATCCTTGCCCTAGCAATGGTACTGTCGGCTTTCCAAGGAGTTTACGCGGATCGACTATATGAGTCTTACGGCAGAAACCATTGGAAGGAGGCCCTCTTTTATTCGCACACACTTTCTCTGCCCCTCTTCCTACCAACCTACTCGCACCTTTTGGCCCAATGGCGGGCGTTGTTGTCTTCGCCTTCGTTGCTCTCTATAGTTTCTGCTATCACTGCAAAAAAAGGGTCTGTCTCAAGCTCTCCCCTACTACTCGACACCGACTTAGCTACTACCTCAAGAACGGCGTTTGTGAAACCAGCGCCCATGCCAATCATCAGCACTATCATTCATCTGCTAGCAGAGCTTGAGCGTTTCAAGTCTTCCCAGTTCATTCTAGCTTGTATACCAATACAGGTATTCTATCTTCTAATGAACGCCCTAACACAATATCTGTGTATCCGTGGGGTTCATCTTCTTTCGGCGAAATCATCCTCACTAACCGTAACTATTGTGCTCAACGTTCGAAAACTCATCTCGCTGTTACTATCCATCTACCTGTTCGGAAATGATCTTGGGCCAGGTGTGCTTATGGGCGCCCTTTTCGTGTTCGTGGGGGGTGCTTTATATGGTTTCGAGGGTGCACGGTTGAGGAAGGCACCTAAACTATCTAACAAGAAAGACTGACATAGTTGCGTGGCTTCGATATGTCAGAGCTAAACTTTGCACGTTTTCCTTCGAGAACATTATAGACCTCTGTGTCTGTGGCTGCGATTCGCCGTTAGGCCTATTGCATACAGCTAATTCCATACATGCTTCGCGGATGTCACTTAAGACGAGACCCCGAATGTACAGCATTCGCCATATACAGAAGAGCAAATAAAAGTCCGTTGACATTGATGTCCGAAGATTTGAGTCCAGTTCGACTTGACTTTGATACAAGTTCAATCAATATTCTAATAAGATTTCTAGCAGAAATACAAGATGTACAGTTGCAGCTAGCGCTACAGAAGGGCTTCGACGTATTGTCCTCTATTGTACAAAAATCACCGATGGATTAATAGTCACCCACCAAATGTGAATTTTGAACAGACTACAGGACCTCGCCCACGATTTTTGCGGCCTCCTTGTAGGTTTCTAGAAGTCTTTCACACTTCTCCCTCTCCGCCTTGATTCCGTCATCCTCGTAAAGAAGTTCTCCGAAGAGATCTTCCTTGTAAAGTTCGCTGACAAGCCTATTTTGCACAACATCTTTACTATGATTGACAAGAAGGTGCATAATGGCCTTGGGAACCTGGTCAGCAATAGTTTCCCTAACAATATCGAAGTAGGAAGATATCAAGCGGCGAATCAACTCTGTCTCCAACAGCTCACGATCAGAAAGAGTTGGTTCAGTATTTTCCTGTGCATTGTATGAGCTTCTAGCATAACAAAAACAAAGCTCGAACTAATCACGACTTACAAGAGAGTTAACCTCGCCAATATACTCCGGAACAGGTACATAGTCATCAGGCGGCATCACTGGAGAGCGCACCTCCGTCCTCCGAATACTTTGACTGGTGCTGATATCGTTGGCGTGGTTGGAAGGTCTGTTTTGGCTCGAAGGTTGAGGAGGAAGTGAGGGAGATGGCTGGGCGCCATCTTTGCCAAAGAAATAATTCAAAAATGAATCGCGTGTGGTGTTTGTGGCACCAAACATGGCATGTGGACTTTGATTTGCACCATTCAAAGTTGCCGCAATACCGCTTTCTTGGGGCTTGCCAATATGCGGGGACATGGTTCTTGTGCCTTTTGCAGACTGACTCCTGATAGGGATGGTCTGAGCCTTTTGCTCTAGTGCTTGCTCCTCCTCATCCTCAGGAGAGAGACTTGTGCTTCCATTGATGCCTCCGAGTTCCCTCTGTCGTCGCTTCTCACGCTTCCTTCTATCCTCTGCTAATGCCGACTTCCGTTCTTGCTCCTGTTTATTCTGAATGACGGAAGACATCGCGGCCGCCGCACCGAGAAAATTCGGATGATTTGTGTTTATATAGGCTCTTTGTATGGAAATCAGTGACTCCACATATGCTGAACAGGGCCCCAAGCGCTCACGAAGGAGGTCAGATACTACCTCGATAAGCTTTGCTTGTAGGCGTGGAAAGCGTAGGAGTTCTTGTGATCCACAAGTATGGCAGATTTTTATAAGTTCTTCGTACACGAGCTCTACACACCTCTGACTAGGAGCTTCCAGCATTTTAATCTGAGGTTTCACGAGCAAATCGAACGCAAGTTCAGGGACAAAGAGACTTGGACGAGGGCCAGTTGAGTTTCGAATTGCTGTCCTGATATCTGAAACTGTCAGGTTGTGCGTAGGGTCAATTGTTTCAAGAGAATTGCCGAAAACGGAGTTGAATATATAATAGATTCTGGCCCCTCCGCAGAGTTCCTTGGTCGAGATTTCAGATGAAGTTCCGTCAATGGAAGATATAAAAGAGGATGCAAAACGTGTCATTAGTTGCAGGATCAATGAGCCACGATGTTCCTTGCCACTGAATTGTTTATTGCCATAGCTAGCAAGCTCCTGTTGTGTTTGTCCCATGAGTGTATTTAAGCGGGCTTTGATATCAGGGAGTCGATCTCTAATGTGAGACATCAAAGTCGTGTTCAGTGTTTTTGCCAAAAACTGTGTTCCACAACGATTCGCCATATTACGGTAGGCAGGGTGATGCCGGAAGAAATCTACTTCTGCCTGTAAAGCATCAGATAAGGATTTCCCTGATTGAATGTCTTGTTGGGATCTGTTGACAACGCCAATGAACCCCAGCTTCAGAGGATAGACGCGCCCAGAAAGAATATCCATAGCATTGGTGCCATGATCCATAAGGTCCAACTTTGTCAAAACGCCGATTGTTCTGCGCCCCATAGGATCTACCTGGCGAGCAAGCTTCAGGGCTTCAGAGTTCACCAAGTCGACATTCGCCGGGGATACCGCCAGGACAAGGCTGTTTGGCTTTGCTATGTATTCCAAAATCAGCGCTCGAGTTTGCTTCTCTATGTCAGATGGTTGGTCGCCAATGGGCACTTTGGTTAACCCTGGTAGGTCAACCATGGTGAGATTAAGAACATGAGGCGAAAATATCTTGAGATTGATGGGTTGCCTATTGATTCCCTTATTGCTTCCGGCTATTCTGGCGGTCTCGGCTTCAATTTCTTGTTTCACAAGAGCGAAGTCCTCGAATTTCCGACCAGGGAGGTGGTGAAATTCCGCCCACTCATGCTGTCCAGCTACACTAGCAGCAGTGTGAGGCACATGAACCTCATCAGTGTCAGGTTTGTCATGGCGTTCGCTGGGTATGTTTATAAGTTGCAGTATTAAGGGGCGTCTCGTAACTATGCCGCTTCCTCTCGGCAAGAAATCTCTACCGACAATGTTCTCAAGCACGGACGACTTCCCGGATGACTGAGAACCTACCACAACCTTTAAAAGAAATTCAGTACTTGCTATCAGTCTAGATTGTAAGCCAAAGGGAACTTACTATTTGCGGCAAGTCAAGAGAATCATTCCCAATCGTATTGAAAACAAGGTCTTGCAACTTGTTGACGGTTACAAGCAAGTCTTCGCTAAGGGACGCCATCTCTGTTTCTACTTTCCCCCTCTGGTTGCCTTTTGTCCTTCTGTTTCTCTTGGCTTCTTCAATTTCTCCCCTCCTGTTATTCTTCAGAGGAGTTTAATTGAGTATACCTTTCTGTTGTCTGATAGTGACAAGTTGTCTCACGAAAGTTGACAGAGAGATTGTACGCCAAGTACACCTTCAGAAATGCCAATTAGCACTAACAAAGGGAAAGCCACAGTTATTTGTCTTGGCCGCAGGAGTTTGCTGCGATTTGCTTGCTCCAGTGTTGTCGTGGGTAGCTGGTCCTAGGATACACCACAAAGTGGAGCTCGCCCTTTCCTTCTTTCCTATGCTTTTGCGGACAAGATATGGACACAAGTTACACTTCCAGTCATGTGACACCCGGTAATTCGGTTTGGCAGTAAACATTGTATGTGTGTCACGTGATTTGATACATATTGGTACCTGTACCGTAATATTTTAGCGTCGAGGTGGAAGACAAAGGAATTACAAGTCCTCGGCTGATTTACTGAGTTACCCCAGGAACACCTCCTTGGGGACCTTTACTCCTGCGAAATCACTCATTGGCATTCCTATTCGAGACAGTGACAAACACCCACACTATACTTATCACCTAGCCTCAGTACTTGTCCCTTCCGTGGCTGGGCATACAGCTCCAGAAGACTTAGAAATCAGTGTAAAAGACTTGGTTACAAAAAATTGAATTAAATAGACTACTAACTACTAATTTAGAGGATAATGAAGTATATCTTCTATTAATTACTCTTTTTCTATATGCTCTGATAACCTTAAGGGATGCGGCTTGCCATGGTTAAAAAAAGTCAGTGTGGTCAGAAATTGCTTGGCAATTTCTCTACGGAGTGTCATGGGGCGGCTCCCGAGCGCATTCAGGAGCTTAGACCGCTGCACTATCGGCAAAAGACTAGGATACAAAGCCAAAGGTTTTGTACTGCACTCACATATATAAGCTTATTCAGGCAGGTAGGCAAGCACTGTGACAAACCGCCTCTGTATTCCATAGAAAATGGTACTTTTTATAATCTCAATATCTCAATAACTACTAGAAGAGATGATAGCTATCTGAGATCTGATACTTGGATAATATACTGCTATAGAGATATATTTTAAGTATAGAAAGATATTACACTCTATAGAGTATTGTTATGGAACCTGTGTCACAGACCCTGATCTAGCACAAACAGTGATAAAATAACATACTGGCTATGAAAGGACAGGAACAGTGAAGCTGTCAGAAAGCTCGGCACAAGAGTACAAAAGATCACATGACAAAAGGACCAACGAGAGGAGGATGGTCTACCAGATCAAGGATATATAACGACACTCATTCCCGCAGTAGTAGTTAGTTCTTCGTGATCAATAAATATTGTTACTACAGAGTTACCTTTGTAATTATCAGTTCAGCTCGTTCACACTCTTCTAACTATCGGATAGACATACTCCATAGGCCTGGACCTTTGGACTCGAGTCTTGTATCGACGGCAGTCTGGTGTTGACTGCACCGCTGTGACAACGATAATTTAGTGTCGACAAGAATCTTGTGCCGGCTTCAGGTTAGTAACCTTCGACGCGTGGTCCGCTAACTGGTCTCAGACTTGACGACAAAGCCCCGGGCGTAACAGTGACTTTCATTAGTATAGCCGTGAATACCCTAGGTTACTAGATTCTAGCGGAATAGAGATTACCATAGACTGGCAACTACTAGTAGGATGGACAATGCAGCCACCACAGGCAATGGCAGTCTCAATAACAATATATTCTGCTGACTGGTTACCTACTCCATCAACAACTAGTAACCAAGTGATACATAACGATGACAACCACCTGATAATATATCCTACCAGCAACTGTCTTGTCCAATTGGAAGAGTCCTTTTTTTCAACAGTCAAAGCAAGTTTATACAGTATTGAATTGCTTCTCCTGGTGCTGCTATAGGAATTCTAAGACACAATAACTGAAAAGTTTTCATATGCCGTTGAAGGCATATGTCCTATCTGCGAAGGCAGCACAGGGGGAGATAGTTGTTTTTTATCCTTTTCTTTGTCTTGCAGATATGAATGTTGCAAATTATGCTCAGCCAAAAGGCCCAAGGACTCGGGTAAATCAAGCTGTAAACCTAAAATAGAAAACAGAACGCATTGGACTTCCTCGTCATCGACACCTGACCTTGCGGAAGGCACCACCTTGGGATCACTTTCGGAGTTGTACATAATTTGCTGGGAAGAGGCCTTCTTTATTGCCATATTTACCAAACCACCAGTCATCGTCGGGAAATTCCTACATATGACGAGCAGTCAGCCATATCAATCCTCTGAGCAACCCATTCGTCGATATGAATGCGGGGAAGATAGAAACTGAAACGGTGTGACAAGGGAAAAACTTACGATGTGAGTGATCTCAGCACCCTCTGGAAAGCTGAGCTCATTGTCTTCCGCGGCTTCGTAATCGTACAGAGCTGTAGCAGTGGGTCCATTGGCTGAGCTCAAAACTGATGGCGCGGCTGCTTCAACCTGAGGCTCTTGAATCCCGGTGTCCAAATTGTGGTCATGCAAGGCCGGCGAGGTAGAATTCTGGGGCTTGTCTTCCAGTAGCTCAACATAGTTACTCGGGAAGAGACCCCTCTCACCACGAGCATTTGAACCCAGCCACCAGTCCTTGTCAACCATTTCAATCTCCGTCACATATTCACCTTCCGTGAGCTCAATTTCATTGTCTTCCGCTCTTTCATAATCATACTGCACCACGGCTTGAATACCGTTGGTCTGGAAGTTGTTGCCAACTGTAGCCTCTGCCGTTGCCCGGGCTACATCTTGCGTGTCATCCGCAAGGTCTGCATCTTTCGGCACCGTCTGACGAAGACTGTCCGTGGGCAAAACAGAAGGTGGTGATGGCTGTTCATCATGAATATCAGCGGCACCGCGTCCAACAGGCATGGCAACACGGATAGGCGAGGTTTCCCGTACTGGAGGGGTTGGAGGAGTAGGGGACCGAGGCTGCTCAGGAGGGCTGGGAGTCACTTGGCGAACTTCAGGCTCCTGGGTGGTTTCTGGTTGCACAGGTCCCGTTGGTAAGCCGGGAAGAGGCACAGAGCGTCCTATATCCAACTGCTCATCGGGCCTAGCCTCGGGGGCCGAGTCATCAAGTGACTTATCCGCAAATTGATCTCGAAGAGCACTGACACTTTTGGGGGCCTGAGGCTCTGTTTCCGTGGCATCGTTTGCAGCAGGGTCCGTAGCCTGGTGAGACGTATTGCTGGTGAGAGACTTTCCAGTGTGCGTAGTCTGAACAGGGGTCCACGTTCTACCGCTGTATGAGCTCTTCCACTCCCCTCTGCCGCTGTGCTGTGTTTGAAGCGAGGGTTCATCGTACCCTGATGATGGCAGATCAGATGCAGTAGCTTGTCCCCGTTCCCTCGCTTTCCTCTCTGCCCAAAGTTGTGCGGGAGTCTTTCCTCCCTCATCTGCAAAAGTTCTGCTTGCGCTACCGACGGGCACAGCTGCTGAAGTTGGCTTTGACACGGATCCACTAGGTAGAGGAGGTTTGGTTCCAACGAATGACTGGTTCGCTCCGAACTTATTCGCAACCTTTGGCTTCGGTAGACTTGTTAAACGCTCGGACTGTCCTGGAGGTGGGATTGTGTGGTTTCCAGATTCCGCTTGTCCCTGGGAGTGGTTTGGTGCAGCAAATTTGACGTCGTCAGCCATCGACTCGCTGGGTTTTTGCGCCCTGGCCCGAATAGCAGCAATATCGATCTTGCCAACTGGCTCGTATGCCCCCCTCACTGGCTCTGGCCGGTCATCCTTTAATTCGCCTGCCTCACGTGCCTGTTTCCTTATGGCAGCAATATCCACTTTACCCACTGGCTGATAGCCGCCCTTGACAACGTCGCTACGATCTTCGGCGGTATATTGAACCTGCATGTTTGCTACATGTGACTCTTCCGATCTAAGGGCTTGTATATTAACCTTGGTTGGTTGGTAAGCTGGCTGCACCTTTTCAAGTTCTGTCCTAGTGATTGGAGGGGCATCTGGGCCCCAGCCATCATTGTCGGTATATCTCTGGAGAGGTTTTTGAGGAGCAGCTGCCGTGGCATTTGAGCCGATACCACCGGTCCGCGATGGTGTGAAAACTGGCTTGGATGCGATTGGCGGCTTGGGTGCAGCAGCGGCCAGCTGCCCGGCTCCTGCAGAGTACTTAGCACCAGATGCATCCCCCACTTTCTGTATAATTCCTTCTGCAGTCAAGTCCCCATCTGCACGTGCAGTTATTTGAACATGGTAACCCTAGCAGCTGTAAAGTCAGCAGCATAGTCTATGATGGGATAAGTTCTCTAGGAAACATGTGAGACTGAAAGGCCACTAACGTGTAACAATTTTGAGACCGCAGATAGGTGACTAGTGAAATAACCCTTCGTCCGTTCGGGAACGCCCTCCCCGCACCATGCAAGAAGCACGCTCTTAGGAAGTCCAGTATTTGGGTCAGTGACTTTAACAAAGGCGAACTGCATCTTTCCCTCAGAGAATTCATCGATAAGATCAGCCAATTCGCCGTCTTAAATATATTCAGTCAGTCCAAGTGTTCCTCATTATAGAGTGTTTGACTAACCTCCGGTACTTTGGACCTTTAGAACACTCTCCTTGTTGCCTGTGTCTTGCTGAAAAGCACTAACAAGTGGTGCTGAAACTGAAAACACTGCCCATTGCCCATAGGTAGGCGAAGAAGAACTGGTGGGTGGGGGTGAGTTGACAACAGCTTGATAGCTCTTTGCTATTGAAGGCCCATTGGATGAAAGGTTCAGGGATGCCATTTTCAGGAATATTCCACAAAGACACGACAGTAGCTAAGAAAGCTTGTTCCGGCGTTCGTAAAAATGTACAAACTGCAGAATGTGGTCAGAAGCTGCATGAATTAGCCCTAGGTTCTTGTCATGAACAGTGTGGGTTAGAGTTACCGTGTCACCTCTTGGAACAACGTATAGGGGATATAGAAAGGCAAAAAAGAGAGCAACTGACACCTTTGTGTGTTTTGATTGGCGACAATTCTTATCAATATTCCACTGTATGTAGGGTGATGTAGAATCTGTGAATGATAATAGACTCTAATTATGGGTGATTGATCTCTGCCTAATGAGTATCTAGCTGAAGGTGGGTGATTTGGTCTGTTGTACGGGGCAAAGTTACAGAGTACGTCACACCACTAGCTACTAGTAGTAAGGTACGGAGCACTCCCTCATACGTACGTACTAGTACTACCTAATGCGACCCGAAATCCAGGAATAGTTCCTTATTGTACTAGTCTAGTACTAGGTAGGTACTAGTAGCAATTGCTAAGGCTCCTGGCCCTCCAGACTCCACGGTATCTACTAAAAATGTAAAATACATGCATGCCAAGACTGGCAGGGTACAGCCGACAGAGTACGGAGTACTCCTACTACTACTTAGCTACTAGTAAGTAGTAATAGCTGAGTCCAATGTTGGTTATCAAAACCACCACCCGAACAATAAATATGACAGTCTAGACTCACTCTTTCATCACATCTTTCTAGGTGAGTATTGCCATGTATATCTTCTCATATGTTGGGTCTTATTTTTAATTACCAATATCGTGACTTGTATCGATAGTCTCTCCCTTTCTCTCTCTTTCGTTATCTCTTGTTTTCCTCGCGTTTCTCTATTCTCCATGATTAAAGAAAATCCAGACAATTCAATTTTTAACAAGTCTACTAGCAAATGCGCCTAATACTTTTGCTCAATAAACTATTTGCCTTTTTATCTTTTCCCTCTTACTAATATCCAAAACAAATCCTGCAGTTTAGGAGTATAGTAAATGCAAGGGATTTGGTTAGTAGTTTTTCGGTGAGTCTTTTCGGCGGAGAACCAACTGATTCATCATTCCAACAGTTGCAACACAACAAACAACAACTGCACAAGTGTGACGAACTTTGGATGCCCTAATGGCTTCGTCACAGCCCAACCTTACCTCTAGGCTTGATGCCAATGCCAACGCTGCTGAAATCTCATCGGAAGACGAGGTTTCCCTGCACTCCCACAGTGAGAATCCGCAGACACGCGGGATCTCTCTAGATGACACAGCATCCCATGAGTCTAGTTTTGCCGCGGCGACAAAAACATCCGGCGATATTCTACCAAGGGATAGACTGCTGAAAACTCCTACCTACGACTATGCATATGAAAAATCAATGAGCCACACGGAAGCAAAACTTTTCTATCAGCATCATCAGTTCGCCTCACGGAGTGCCGACAGTGAACCTACCTTAAACCCAGTACCTGCAAATTACAATGCAGCCGTCACACAGACAGACAGTGCGCCAAGCTATACACCAACCGTGATGGAACACAATGGCTCCCAACACCGCACAGTCAGCACCGTGTGCCAAGATGATCCAATTTCAAAGACTCAGCCCGGTGCAAATGCCACTCCGCTGTTTGATCAATTTGGCGCGCACTTCATTCATGAGTACCAGCCCAACGGTCCCGCTGTAGATGATACTCACGGTAGTTTCGGGTTGAATACAATGCCATCCAGGTCCCAGGACCAATTCGGTCAAACTTCAACGGGGGCAGGTAATGAGCGTTCTGCTAGTGATATCTTGGGAACCGCCCAGACCTTGTTGAATTCTATGCCAGGCGGCGATGCTGTTACATCAGAATTGAACGTAATTTGCCGCAAAATATTGAGACTCCTCGATCGGCGATCCAGATATATGCAACTATCATTGCAGGGTCCTGGAGATAACCCTAAGGATCATGCCGATTGGAAAGTGTATCCTGCGCCACCAGAACCAGCTTGGGAAGGTGACAATGAAACTGGAAAATTTAATGATAACTTCCGACCCGAACAGAAGAAGAGAAAAATGGGTCAAGATATCGGGGAAGATTTTGACATGGCCGAGTGCCTACCTCTTCCCGAGGCGTCAGACTGGGTTTTCAAGCTCGATGGGAATAGTGTGTATCAAGTGTACGAAACTTATGGTACCGCCACTACTAATCAACCTGTTGTACAAATTCCTTCCCTGAGAGATTTCTACATGGATCTCGATGCGGTCATAGATGTATCAACGGACGGGCCTGCAAAGAGCTTCGCATTCAAACGTCTTTCTTACCTGGAGGGAAAGTTTCAGCTATATACTCTGCTTAATGAATATCAAGAAATAGCCGACAGCAAAAAAGTACCTCACAGAGATTTTTACAATGTCCGAAAAGTCGACACGCATGTGCATCACTCTGCATGTATGAATCAGAAGCACCTCCTTCGTTTCATCAAAAGCAAGATGAAAAAATCACCCGATGAAGTCGTGTTATTCAGGGATGGCAAGCACTTGACGTTGAAGGAGGTTTTTGAAAGCATAAACCTTACAGCTTACGATTTGAGTATCGATACACTCGATATGCACGTATGTAGAAGGAGCGACTTTTGGTTTCTTGTTCCTGGTTAGTTTGCAACTAACAGTTTTACAGGCACACACAGATTCTTTCCACCGGTTTGACAAGTTTAACCTCAAATATAACCCTGTGGGCGAATCTCGGCTGCGAGAAATATTCCTGAAGACGGACAATTATATTAAAGGGCGTTATCTAGCAGAGATAACGAAGGAGGTCATCTCGGACTTGGAGTCGAGCAAATACCAAATGGTGGAATGGCGTATCTCAATATACGGCAGGTCCATCCAGGAATGGGATAAACTTGCGGCATGGGTAGTTGATAATAAGTTATTCTCCCCCAATGTCCGTTGGCTTGTCCAAATACCTCGACTCTATGACGTATACAAGTCGAGCGGCATGATGGAAAACTTTGAGCAGGTTATCACCAACGTCTTCCAACCGCTATTCGAAGTGACAAAGGATCCAAATAGTCATCCAAAACTTCATTTATTCTTGCAGCGTGTGGTCGGCTTTGACAGTGTCGACGACGAGAGCAAAGCAGAGCGACGACTATATAGGAAATATCCTATCCCAAGAGAATGGAATACGAAACAAAATCCCCCCTACAGTTATTGGATATACTTCATGTTTGCAAACATCGCATCCTTGAATATCTGGCGCAAAAAGCGAGGATTCAACACGTTCGTTCTAAGGCCGCATTGTGGTGAAGCTGGTGACCCTGATCATCTTGCGGTTGGGTTCCTCTGCTGCCACAGCATCAGCCATGGGATCCTACTCCGGAAAGTTCCTTTACTGCAGTATTTATTCTACCTTGACCAAATTGGGATTGCCATGTCGCCTCTCAGCAACAATGCGCTGTTTTTGACATATGACAAAAATCCATTTGCCAATTTTTTCAGGCGAGGTTTGAACGTATCGTTATCTACTGATGATCCATTACAATTTGCGTTCACCAAGGAGCCTTTGATTGAAGAATACTCGGTTGCTGCACAGATCTATAAATTTAGCGCGGTTGATATGTGTGAGCTAGCTAAACACTCGGTCCTGCAAAGTGGTTTCGAGCTCGCTTTAAAGCAAAGATGGCTTGGCACAAACTGTTCAGCAGCAGGAGTCCCGGGAAATAATGTTGCAAAGAGCAATGTTCCGGACATTCGAGAGGGATTCAGGCATGAAACGCTGATAGGAGAGTTGGCATTGTAAGCATCCCTAGCTGTGTTGTCTGCCCCTGGCATGGTTGGGGACATCTAGAGTAACTAATTACCTACAGGATTGAAAGATATGTTGACAGTTTGAGTACTTACTCAAAGACACTGCCCCTCAGAGGACAGTTGCAACCTAGCTTGGCCACGGAAAATGAGAACAATCCAAGCCATAGTAAGTCCCATTGCGCACCGCCAAATATTGGTCTATTTACTCACCAGCGATAGCTTTGCGGAAGGAGGGTCAGGCTACAGCATCTCCGCAGACTTTTACCGCGGCGAATCCTCCCATATATTTACAAAACCAGCCCGAGACCAAAATCGCAGGAGAGGCTTGCTTCACAGGTCCCACTCCTCACCTCCCGGGCCCTAAATCGGGTGAGGATACTGGGCCTGAAGCGTTACCAGAACAAAAGATATTCCCTGGTATTGTGCATGAAAGGGCTCAGCGGGGTAGTATGTTGACTCGAGCATTGGCTGAGGATGACAAGGATACGAAAGACGGGGGTAAAGGTGTCAACAATTGCCCCGGTCCGTCCTAAGGCTAATACAGGGCGATGCCATGGGCATAGTATTTTGTGTATCCGGAGCATGGACCTATAGGTTATGTTGTGGTTCATGACAGGTAACAGTTGCCGTACCCATGAATTACTGGCTGTTCGTTGGCTATTCGGGACAATTCAGTGGATCAGATATTAGTATTAACTTTCTCCCGTGGACACGTAGTTGGAAGTTCTCGTGTTCTGTAGCCAGATTTCGGGCTCTCCGGCGCAGGCTGAGATTCATATTAGAGGCACCAGGGACAATATAGGCACAAGGATACCCTGTTTCCCCCTTCCCTATCCCCTCTAGCGAGGTTTAAAAGATAAACACACGCCCTTGGCCGAGAAACCTAGTTGTATCCTTTCCAACAACCGTTCTCACCCCGCCCAACTACCCCTTCTCTCGCGTACACCCCATGTCCCATGACTGCTGTTGTCTTCAGCCGAAGTAGCTTGCTGACTAGCCCAATCGCGTATATACGAGCGAAGAGCCAGCCAACGGCTGCAAACATCGCTAACAGAAGTTCCTGTTCTGGGGTTTTCGACGATGCTAACATAACCCTTGGCATCTGTGTTCATATCATCTCGCCTGAGTTCCGGTACAGGAATACCAGACACTCTACTCAGCTCATAGTCATAATAACGAGCAACACAAGGATAGCCTAGAGACAAGTAGTTATAAATCTGAGTGACGAACCCATCCTGAAATTGGGGTTCAGTGTCGCTATCAGAGCTGTCCCGCTTCTTCTCATCGTGTGGTTCTGGCTTCGTCTGGGGCTTAGGATGAGCTTTGTCTTTTAATGTCAACATTTCGTTCGGCCACGCCCAACTCGTTCCTCTAATTCGAGAAACTGGAGCTAATGTACTGTAGGAAAGAGAGTCTTGGGAGGTTCGGCAATGCTTGTCCTGTTTGCATGTTCCCATCCATAGACCATCGCCACCACAGTCATCATTGTTGTGAGGAGCCGCATGCCAAAGGTGGGGAAGGTTGTGAACACTGTTACTGCACTCGGCCAAAGGGTGACTCTCACAGAAAGTTGTTTCGGGTGACAAGCTTTGGGGGAAAGTAAGGTCGTCGCCTAACATCGGTGGGCTCTTGAGGTGTTTTTGTTGGTCTCGGCCGTGATCTCCTTCCCGATTCTTGTCTGGATAGATATGCGGCCTTGGTTTACCGCAGGCCGTTAATTTTAAAGGACCGACACATGAAAGATGCAAACCCTGTGTGCCAGCCATGGCACGGTCTCGCATTTCTGCCTCCTCTTTATGCTGCCGCATATACTCGAGCTCCCAAGACAAATCCGCAGATGACGCACGTCGGTACCTTCTTAGTTCATCCGATTCACGTATTAGTGGCTCTTCTTGGCTGGAACAATCCTCTTCTGTATCAATGGCAAAGTGATCCACCGGCTGATAGACTTGTTCATTAGGGAAAGCTGCTAAGGCTTGGTCTCTTAACTGTTTTTCGGTCGAGCGGGCAGCAAGAGAGAGTAGATAGCTTGAGAAAAGCTCGTCGCAACTTTCCCTGCGACCTTCTTCCACTCTCGGCCGTATCACTGATTGTCGGGATGAGACAGATGGCGACACGGGCAATGATGGTAAGTCAGACGCTTCAGATGCTTCGCTACCGCTAGAAGGAATCACGGGGAGATCGGGAACTCGAAAAGAATGCCGTCTTATCTCCTGACGCTGCCGAAGCCGGAAGTATGAAAATCGAGACTCATGTGCCAAGTGGCCTTCACTATGTACCGGTGTATCCCCGATAGCGCTCGCATGCTTCAGATCAGTTTCAGGCTCCGGTCGGTATTTTTCATGAGGTGCATATGTGCACGAGTCGCGGCGAAATGAGCGGCTGGCCGTTTCCATTAGCTGAGGCACAAATTTTCTCGGGCGCAGTTGAGAGTTGTCTGTGTTGCATAATGCCTCATTCTGTTTGCCGCTTATACGGCTTTGTCGCAGCGGTGCCAGCGATTCTGTTGCATGTTTCTCTCCTCTATGTCGCCTCTCTGGATAACTATTAGATGGTAGGCAAGTTGGCGGCAAGTTGTCGTGGACATGTGATGCAGTGCTGCACGGAGGTTTTATATGTATCAGAGGTTTGGCGGATGCGACAGGGTGAGTTGAGTGACACTTTGTGTCGTCTTTGGCCCCCGCTGCAGTGTTAAGGTCTTCTTGTTCATGCAGCAACTTCCTCCCCACGTATGATGTTGGCTGGGGTGCCTTGGATTTGCGTGTGGTGGTTTCAATGGGTTCAGGTAAGAATCTCCTAACTCGTTTGGATGGTTCGGTAGTGGGATATGACATGGTGCCAGTTAGACTATACACTCGTCACGTCCCCCTTCTTCCAGATAGGTCTATTAATTATTCTAGGCATTTGCTCACATAAATATGGTGGCCCCTAAGTTCTTCATTTATTGTACCTACCTTTCGCCTATTTATTCCCTGATTTAAACCCGACCTATTGCCACCATCTCAAGATATGATACGTTGACAGAAAAGAGTAATTAGAAGGACAACTAGTAGTAATTTCACTGTACAGGGCAAAGGGGAGAGTTCATAATACTTGTAAGATTGCGGGTGTGCATTTATCTTGGTCTGGGAAAGAAGGGGCCCAAAAAACTGATACTAGATGGATACCCAAAGAGAACTTATTATATGTTTTCTTACCACTATGAGCGGATTAGGATGGAGGAGCATCTAAAGTATCATGTGGTTATCGTTATCTACACCGTAGTTAGTCACAGGTAGCATTCAAGCAATATTCAATGGTACGTGTATCCGTATTACCGCAGAGAACTTAAGAACTAATAACCAGCCATATACAGACTTTACACGCGCAGAACAACCTATAACAGTAGGCGGTTGTCACAATACATTGTACCCAATTTCAACAAATTACCTCGACTGTACAACTCACATCCCATGTGAACCGGGCGGGGCTAATGGCCATGCTACTTCCTAGATTTCCCGAATACTGCTTGAAACTGCAAGAATCGGACAACCAATCCCTCCCTCTATATTGAGTGTGACAGCGTACGCGAAAATACATAAACACGAAATAGGGAGTATATATGTGTATGAGCGCCCTTCCAGTATACAAAGATTACTCAGCAGTATATCTTCGGGATACTAGGGGGCCAATGGGGGGTACCAGCTTCGGCTGCCTCAGGATTTAGTGCGAAGGGGTCAGGATCTTGAGAGAGAGTCAGAGCTAATATTGTATAACCCCGGAGTACAAAGCTCCTTGCAATTTTAACTGCCTTAGAAGCTCTGACTAGATTAGATTTTATATGATTTTGATTTAGTTTATAACAGCGGTCATCTTAGACAATGATTATTCCTGGTTATCTGTAAGGGCTCCTTTGGTGGCCAATGGCTGAGGAGTGCAGTACTAGGAGGATCAAGCGTATTTAGATTATTAAGAAACTTAGATATAAATTAAAATAAAATAAATTACTTAAAGATTTGAATTTTCTATATAATTATTTAATTTTATATAATATATTAAATTTTTATAAAATTATTAATATTTTATTAATAGTAAAGTAATAATTATTTAAAATAATTAAAAATAAATATTTTATAAAATAATTACTATTATAATTATTTCTTTTTTAAAATAATAAATTATTTTATTTTATATTTAAATTATTAAATAT